CAGAAAAAAAAAAAAAAGCTTTACGCAAATACTAAATCAAAAACAAACACACTTATACACACAGAGAATTGTTATTATCTCAGCACTCATCCACATTTCCGAATTGAGTGGTCCTGAGCAGGCAGCGGGAAATGTAGCAACATCCCAGGAGGCCAGGCCCACAGATCCAAAAACGTGGGACACAGAGCTCCTCTGGGTCCCCACCAAGGGTCTGAGGAGCCTTAGATGCCTCCCTCACCAAAGGTCAATTTCTGAAGGGGCAGAAGATGACGCAAGGGAGAGTGGGGACCGCAAGATAGCTTTGAGGGGGCAGTCTCAGTCAGGGTTTCTGTTGCTGTGATGAATGAAACACCATGACCAAAGCAAGTTGGGGAGGAAAGGGTTTATTTGGCTTACACTTCCACATTGTAGTCCATCACTGAAGAAGTCAGGACAGGAACTCAAACAGAGCAGGAACCTGGAGGTGGGGGCTGATGCAGAGGCCATGGAGGGGTGCTGCTTACTGGCTTGCTCCCCATGGCTTACTCAGCCTGCTTTCTTATAGAACACAGGACTACCAGCCCAAGGATGGCACCACTCACAATGGGCTAGGTCCTCCCCCATCAATCACTAATTAAGAAAATGCTTTACAGCTGGATCTCATGGAGGCATTTTCTCAATTGAGGCCCCCCCTTTTAGATAACTCTAATGTGTTAAGTTGACCTAAGACAGCCAGCACAGGGTATCACTTAAGAAAACAGCAGTCCCAAGGACTGCTTACCTGAAGCTCTCCTGTCTATTTAAGGAGGGATAGAAAGACACCCAGGCCATGTGTCTGCAGCAGGCGATGGTGACATGTCTGTTCAGACTTGCCTTAGCTGTGCCCCACAGCTCCTGATGGGAAGCAATTTAAATATAAGTTCCTGATCCCAGAAGCTCAACTGTGTGGACAGTGGTCAAACTTGACCAGTTAATCTGTTACAGAGCACCATTTATATATTTCAAATGGACAGAAAATAGCGTTGTAAGCAGCACCTTAGGATATACTGCCTTTGAGTGGGAGCCTTCTTCCTAGTACCAGAAATCTGTAAGATGTATTGAGAAAATTTACTACTGTGGGAAATGAAAAGTGATGAGATCCGGTGGGGGAGGCCTCTTGCTGATTAATTGCTGTCACACTGTCCTTCCAGTGACTTGGGGAGCTTGTGTTCTCTTTCAACATAATTAAGCTCCTATGGGATGAGCCTGAAGCCGTAGGAATGCTGTCACTCCATCACTGACATGGTTCTTGGGTTCACTCCCCACCACGCCACTGTAACTATTAACACTGTTCATATTCATTTGTGTTACAAATTTTACCAAGGGATTCCTTCTGGATATTTAAATCCACACTGTTTTAAGGCTGCATTTGATTTTCATAACTGTTCTTGCAGGCCCAGTTATCATTCCTTCTCTACCTTGTGGCATGGCCTTTTTCACCCCAGCTAACCACGTCCTCGCCTACTCCCTTCTGGCTTGCGTCCAGGTCAACACTGGGGAGGAACTTCTGCTACTCCTGAGCCTGTGGCAGCTGCCCCTGGAGCTGCTGTAGGAAGCGTGGACCCTTGTCGTCACCAGGTTTTTAATGCCGTGCCATTGAGGGCTCCCAAACTCCTCTCCCAAACTCCAGAGTCATTTACATGCTTACTTTGACAAACTCAAGCTACAACCCAAACTGACTTTTGATGAGCGAACAAGCTCTCCTGGAAAGAACCAGCTGACTGCGTAGAACGTTGGGGATGTGGAGAGGCTGGGTGTTGTAAGGCCAAAGTCTGATTATAATTTGTCTGGGGCCATCTTTAGCTCCCTAACATCCTAACAGATTAAAAAATATCCTTTGAAATACATTCAACAACAACAACAACAGCGTTTTCCAATCACAGGGCTGTGTGTTGTCAGGCAGCATCTGAGGCCTACGGCAGAGTTCTCCCCATCTTCCTGTAACCTGCCGACCTGATGTATCCACCAGCGTATTTGAAAAGTGCCTTGATTCATAACTGACTTTCTTTGTTCTCTTGCTATAGAAAGTTCATAAAATTGCTACCTCATTGGAACATGGAATTTGGGGTATCTAAATGCGTGCTCCTGGGCAATGGTCACTCACATCTGGCTCCAGAATAAATTATCGCTTTCCCTTTGAGATGAGAGCTGTGTTTTTATGCAGACAGAGCTAAGTTTGCTGTTGGGCTTGTCTCTCATCTTGGCCAAAATCACTCCATCTTTCAGTTTTCAGGCCCAAACAGCAGATGCCACACTCTGATGGGTGCTGGTGGTCATTACCTCTTGGCTAGATTTTAGTCATAGGTTCTAATCCTCCAGCTCTGCCCTTGTCCACAAGCCTAATCCCATCAGGGCACCCAGAACAGCCTTTCCTAACCACTATCGGCTCATGCCCTTCACTTGCTGAAAACAAATGGCTCCTTGCTGCAAAGTAAGAGTTCTTAAAATGGCCTCCTGCTCATCATTGTGAGCATCCTCCACAGGGCTTTTCTAGTCCTGCTTTTCTCTATTCCTCCAAGAAGGCATTGACTAGCTTTGCTCCAGACCATCTTTTCTAAAGTGTTCAGATCCTCATCAGCTTTCATGATAAAAGTAAAATATTTCCCCCCCTCCTGAGCACAATTCTGATTTATTTCCTATCCAGTGTTGTTAGAATTCTGCCACTCTTCCAGCTGCATGACCACACATGCGCAGTTCAGTAGCTAAGTAAGGGGTCTTACGCCTTACTTCGTCCATTCGCTGAGTGATTATGTAATGCGCGATTTGTGGCCACGCAATCTGCGCATGCGTGGTGTAGCTCCGTAAGCCCACCTGCACATACGCAGGGGAATCCTTAAAAAGCCGGGCGGTGGTGGCGCACGCCTTTAATCCCAGCACTCGGGAGGCAGAGCCAGGCGGATCTCTGTGAGTTCGAGGCCAGCCTGGACTACCAAGTGAGTTCCAGGAAAGGCGCAAAGCTACACAGAGAAACCCTGTCTCGAAAAACCAAAAAAAAAAAAAAAAAAGAAAAAAAAAAAAAAAGAAAAAGCCGGACACAGACTCCTCCCCTCTCCTTCTGCCCCCCTCTCTCCTGCACGTGTCTCTGCCCCAGGCCTGGCCACACTCTCTTCTATAGCCCCCCTTCCTCCTAATAAAGCTCTGATACTGGGTTTTGTCATGTCTCTGGCCTTTCCTCAAACGGTAACCAGCGCCACTTATTATTTTTTAAAACCAACAAGTGTGACACAGATAATGTCTCTCTCACAAAGGACAAAGAAGTTTGCTTGCTATCCACATAAAGCATTCAGGCTCCCTGAGTTGGGGGTTACTCAGCTATGACAGAAATCCACTGGGGATGCAGCAGCCACCTGGTCCCTCTGGCGTCACCCACTGGAGGGCGGGGGAAGTGCATGTGGCAAACCGGTTGGTAGCACATGAGAAACAGCGTGTTTTTCTTAACTCTGGAGTATCTTGCCTTCTGCCGGAATCCACCCACACTGCGGGCTAAATTTGCTAACAAGATGGGTTGAGTCTCAGCTTTCTGCTTACTTACCATCTGTAAGCTCCCCCACTCTCCCTCCAGGCCAGTTACACATCTGTTCAACAACGCTAGAACACGTAAGGGACAGTGTTTGTTAAAGCCTTGCATTTCTCATTGGCCTGAAATACGCTGCTCCCCCAGATCTCTTAGCTGTTCTACCCTTTCAGGGAACAGACCACTTACAGTCACAGCTGATCCTCTTCCCTACCTTAACCTTCCAGTTCCCTTTATTCAACTCAATTTTTTTCTATTTCAGCTATCAACTTCTACAGAAGGCAGGGCAACTGGATGCCTTTAAAGAACCAGATAATAAGCATTTTAAGTTTGAAGGCCTTAAGGTTCCTGTTAAAATGGCTTCACTGTAGTGGGAGAGCAGTAATAGATAATATGCTAATAAAGCAGGGATAGCCATGTTTTAGTAGCACAACTTAAAAAAAAAAACCTGGCAGCCTGCCTGCAGATTATAGATGATCAGTACCTGTTACAAAAATCTCAGCTTCTCATTCTACTGCCCAACAAGCTTCATAAAAGGAGCAATCTTGTTGTATTCATGGCCCAAACTAGCCTGGAACTATGGAACAGGGATCTGCCAAGAACTAATGTATTTGTAGATCTACTGCACACGCACGCACAGAGAGAGAGAGAGAGAGAGAGAGAGAGAGAGAGAGAGAGAGAGAGAGAGAGAGAGAGAGAGCGAGCACTCTCACTTCAAAGGGAATAAGATGGCTTATTCTTGAGCCAAATTTGAGTGACCAAGATCTAGGTATATATACTTAAGTCTCTCCAAATTCCAAAGGACATGTTAGAATGGCCAAAGATGACAAGGCACAGACAGGCCACCTGCTCATCACCCTCACGTCCTTATTCCCAAACCCACATGTGCACTGCACTTCTAGACAGGGGAGCCGGCTTGCAGTGCAGAAAACCAGGATCTGATGTTGGACTAGTCCACTGTGTTTCTTGCATGTCCCTCGACAGCTCTCCTTCACAGTGACCGGAGTAGGAGAGTCAGCCCTATTTTACATCAGGTTTGAGTGGAGTTCGGCATGGCTAAGTGGTTTGGTAAGGAAATCTCGTTCAATGATCTAGACAAGTCTAACCTAAATACATACCTGCTTTAAAGAGACCAGCCCTTTGTCCACTTTCCTGCAAAGGATGCTTCAACTGGACACGTCAGCAGCTAGTTTAATCCCCTGGGCTACTTAAAACGATTATACACAGATGAAAGAGGCGGCAAACCCTCCTTCGGGGCAAATGATCTGTCCCATTTCTCCCTTCATGCTCAGGGCTCAGCCAAGAACGTGACTTTAAAAAGGGCCTTCGTACCTGCCAAAAGGTTGGAAGGAGAAAGAGGGAAGTCTCTCCAAGAAACAAAGAGTCACGTCTGTATCACATGACAATGAAGAGCCAGCCAAACGGATGTTATGTCCAGCTTTCACATGAAGACCAACCAGAACAAGACTGTAATTCCATCAGGTATCATTTATTTAAATAACAAATCAATTGCACACTGTAGGTAGACTGGTTACAGCAATACGAAAATAGAGAATTCTGAAAACAATCTGGCAACTTAAATATGCATCTAACAAGGAGCCTTCTACAAGGTACAAAGGAAGGGAAAGGAAACATAATGACTTTCAAATTGATTTATTTGCACTTAAAAATACAATTTCTAATAAGACATCTGTTTTCAAAACTGTCTAAATTGTAAAAATAGAAACAGGAACTGTTGTCTTCATGTTGAAAATTTAAATCTTTATCTACATTCACTTACACATCACAGAGGATAACGAGTAACACAAAATCAGCATATGAAAAGTCATGGGAACACAGCTTTTACATGACAAATATCAGTTCGCACTTTCTTCTTCCTCCTTGACTGAGGGAAAGCTCTCTAGATGGCCTCTTCCCTCTCTAGGACCTGAGCCTAATTCACTGATTAGCAGATGGATGTTATTAACACATTCATTTTACAAAGAGTCCTCACCTTCCATGTTTAAAACGGCTTTCTCTGTAGGACTGACTGCTGAGAATGAACTTCGGAAGACCACGCTCAGTACAACGAGGAAAGAAGACTGAGGCAGGATGCCTCCCAGTCCGACCAGCACGACACTGAACGCTAAGTACAGATGTGAGTGCCGATGATTCAACCGGAAACTCTTAATTGGTTTACAAATGCCTTTAATTTTGCCTACTCCAAAAATAAGTGAAAAGGTAACGTTATCATGAAGGCCTCTTTCAGGCCAGAAGGGAAGAAAGGTTTACTTTTTGTATTTTTGAGGCAAAAAAAAAATCTCAAAAGACAAACACCCACAAAGTAAATTTGCTTTGGAAATAAGTTGTGCAATAAAAATAATACATCTCAGTTATTAAATATATATGTACGTATATATATATATGCCTTTGTATATAACTTGCACCAAAAACTGAGCATTCTATGAACATCTGCAATAAATATTTTAAAATAGTAATCTATAAAGAGACAGCTAATATTCATTCAGATGCCAACAGTCAACACAAGGAAAAATGATGAACAACACTTAGCTCTAAAATTCCCATGAAACGGTGACTGAGTGCAGCACCCATCTCTGAGCACACGCTGTCTCTGTAAATCCTGGGTAATCTGGACCCAACAGTGCTATTTTCTTACATCATTAAACAGAACCAAAAGCCTGAGATTTCAAACACTTATGACAATCTCTCTCTTCGTGTAAATTACTTCCTTAAAAATAATTCACTTGGGCTGGGTGCTCAGTGGCCCAGTGCTTGCTTAGCAGTGTGCCCGCACCCTTGGTTTATGCCCCAGGACAGGAGGAGGCAAGAGGAGAGCCGAACAGAAAGCAGTTAACGGTCTACTGTGGGGGAAAACACTTCTGGAAAAAAGGGAATTTGTGAAAATTATTTATATTCATTTACTATCTCCCAAATTGCAACCTGTGCATTCTGCTCTATTAAAGATAAGACTGAAGTCAGAGGTCTGTCTAATTCCTCAAGCAGAATGTGCCACACCTTCAAACTGAGTAGACTTCAAACTCAAAGCAATTCCTTCAAAAATAAATGTAAGTAATATTCTTTAATGAGCTCAGTTATTCCGATACACTCATTTTCAGTTCTGTTCCACTGAAAACAATTTCTTTTTATTTTCTTTTGTACCCAAACTACCAAGACTTTTAATTCAAAGGATTAAAGAAAAAAAAAGTTAAGGTGGCATAAAACAAATACACCCAATGTAATATGCACATGTCCCGTGTTCATCCTTTAAATTAGACACTTCTAAGAACTACTGAGTTAGCAAACAGGGTGTACTATGTGTTTACCGTCAGTAGCTTGTTCCTACTGCACCTTGATTTTTCCTACTCAGTGGTAGAGCATGCACCAGTCCTCGGGGTTCCATTTCTAGCACCACAAAAAATAAATAAATAAATAAATAAAACAAAATAAAATTCAACCTCTAGGCATGTACAGAATTCTTTATTATTTAAATACAGTGAGGCATCTGCTTTGATCTTTGCGCACAGGCCTGGTGCAGTGTAACTGTGCTGAACACATGTCACTGGACTGCACACAGGAGGGCACGGGGCTTAGTCTTTCTGCATGGCTCAGGCTGAGAACCTGCTCAGCCATCTCAACACACAGAAGAGCTCTTCTGTCACTTCCTTCTGAAGGAATGAAGTTTATAAATGGGCTAGAACGGACTGAAACACAAAAGTCTCTCCAGATCACACGGAAGCACTCACACCAAGTCCATCTTCCTTGACGACAGTCTGATGTGCCCTTTACATTACACTTGAAGTTCAACATTCTAAAATAATAAATGCTAATAGCAAATGTACAATTGATCAAGATACCAACTAGGGAGGCAGGGGTCTAGAAATCTAATACATACAGTAAAATATGTAACTGGGCTGTGGGAGAGCAATTTGAAGAAACCCTTCCACTCCTAAAAGGGCAAGAAAGCTTAGGCAATATGGGTTGTTTTATATTACTTATCTATAGACCAGTCTATTGATACATTAGCTCTATCACTGTATCTAATAAAGAGGTGCTTAAAGAGATTAAAATTTGTATTTTTGTATATCATAATATACACACACTCAAAATACTTAGGCAACTGGAGGGCATAAAATATTTAAATTTAGAAAAATCATCTTCCATGTTATTCCTTAAGTGAATAAATTATGCCTAACAATCTTTAAATAGTATGTTGGACTAGTGAAGAGGGTCAATGTTAGCAAGTTGATAAAGTAAAAAAAAGTATCACAAAGGGTTCACTAAATTTTTCAGAAATTATCTTATTCATGAAAGCTACCTAACAATTGTGACATGCAAAGATAGTTTATAAAATAAGACTAACCTAGCAATCTTAAAAATAAAGACTTTTAGATGGGCACACAAGGAGTTCACAGGGGCATGAGGTGGGTGAGACCAATGTTCATCTGTCAAATACTCAGGAAGGATGAAAGTGTAAGGGCACTTAAAGAGAAAAAGTAAACCACTGAGAGATTTGAAACAAGACAATGTACCAGACGAGGAATGGGCAGTCACAGTGGACAGCAAGTGCATGCCAGAATGCCAGGGGGCAAGAGCCCAGGAAGCCTCTGAGAACTGCTGCAGGCAAGAAGGACGGTCCCACCGCCCACGGCCACTTCAGGAGGGGAGGAGCCACAGTGGACAAGTGGCTAGCGCAGCTGACAGAGAAGGGCTGAAGAAGTAATACACTCAACGGCTGAAAAGGACAAAATCGTTTTCTAAGACCCAGACCTGATGAATCACAAACGCTGAGGATTTCAATCACCGAGCCTTATTAACTAATTTCAACAAGCTGTACCGGAACTGGTGATTCAGGAATGCAAGGGCTACAACAATGGGGAGGAAAGAAATAGCAAAATCAAAGTCTAGAGGATTAGCTGGAATAATTCCAGAATTCATTTTCCACTTGGTCATGAAGACCGATTTTAAATTCCTCTCACTGCCCAGGGAGTGGGGGCTGTACTGGAAAAGGTAACAGACCTCACGGGGATGGGTGAGATACAGAATCGTGACGAGCATTAACAGCAGATGTGTTCGGGCCCATCACAACAGAATGACGGAGAAAGGACCATGCACTTCTTTCTATTTGAAGAGGGGCTCTGGCTTTCTACCCTCCCACACCACAGGCTTTAAGCCCTGACCGAGAAACTGTAGAATGGCCTGCCCTCCAGTTCCACTAACCCAGCCACTCGACCAGGGAGGAACGACGGCCACCCAGTACTGCTGAACTCACCCCTTCCCAAGAGCTGGTGGGACTCTTGGGTTACTCTAATGACTGCAGATTGTCCTTCGCACCCAGGAATCTGGAATTTATCTCCCTGTAGCTCCTACCTACTGACTCCTCGGAAAGCCACTAAACTGTCTGCTCTGTTACTGGAGAACACATCTTACACGCAGGAAGAGCAAGCGTTCAAATATACATGGAGTTGGTGCAATTAACTGTTTCCTACTCGCCAAGGCTCCGACACACCACCTTTATATTTACATGGCACTGATCGGAACACCGCCTCCCGATGTAAGATGAACAGAGGCAGTTCCACCAGCGGCTACACAAACTGTCATTGGACACACTGGAACCCCAATCCAGCACCTGTGCCTCTCCGCAAGATGATCAGATGACTGCTGTCCCTAGGCACTTGCTCCTCACTAAACAGATTTTAAGAGACGATCGATCCTTACAAGCATCCTAAGAAACTGGTGCCAGTACAGTGAACATGACAGGAAACAGATAAACGTCTGTGGCATTAACTCTATTACAGTATTTATAAAGGCCCTAGATAGACGGTCCACCCTGCTGAAGAGAATGTGAGTAACAAGAACAAGAAAAACACAAAACAAAATGACACAGGTGAATTTCTTCGATAATGTCAAAGTGGTCATTTAAAAAAAGCTTCTCTACTTATGTGTATGGGTGTGTTTCTTCTATGTGAACATATGCCGTGTCTGTTTGGGTACCTACAGAGGCCAGAAGAGGAAAAGCAGCGAGTGTTCTTAATGCTGAGCCATCTCACCAGCCCCTAAAATAGGTGTTTTACCTTAATTATTTTTTCATTTTATACCAGAATGGGAATTTGTTATAGACCATGAGCTCTGACAGTTTCTCATATAATATGGGTATATATTCTTTTTGTGTTTCTTTTTGGAGACATGGTTTCACTATGTAGCTCTGGCTGGCCTGAAACTCACTATGTAGATCAGGCTGGCCTCAAACTCAGAGATCTGCCTACTCCTGCCTCCCAAGTCCTGGGATTAAAGGAATGTGCCACCACACCCAGCTATATTCTTTAATAATATGAATATATATATATATATATATATATGTTTTAAAAATAATGTTATTAAAGCTCTTCTAAAGAATTTATAAACTCTTCTTCAAAATTATATATATAATTATTGAACATATTTCTACAATATCATAGCAATTTATTTCCCTTTTATCTGTAGCTAGTTGTATAATTTATATTAATGTGATATGGTATCTGCCCCCATGTTATCTGAAGGGATGGTCCTCTGACTCAAAGTGTATTAATCATCTTCTTCAAGGAACTTCCTCAACGTTGGTCAAGAAATGGTTCCTTAAGTAACACACCAACACCTGCTGAGCATGGGGAACTGCAGCAGGGGGCAGCAGGTGCGACTCCATAATTTGGGCCGCTGTCGGTGCTGAATGCATGAATATGAGGTTTCTGACTGCCCACACTCATCTCATGTTACTGAGAGCCCAAAGACTCAGCTGGTTCTTTATAGGGACTGTACTCACACACAAAGCCGTAATCATCAGACTCACTCCCCAATGCACAGAAAGCTACCAAAGGCACCACTGGACTGAGGCCTCAGAGCACCGGGTGCTGCCTTGCCATTCCCACTGGAAAATCCAAGTCCTAGAAAAGGTAGGTCGTCTGCTTACATTGTGAACTATTCCCCAACAGAGAGGGACTCCTAACTACAAATTCAGGGCTCCGCCTAGGGAAGGTGGAGCTGCCCATCATCCAGATAAGTAAACGGGGCAAAAACCCGATTCATGGACTCACGAACTGTTTGTTTTTCCTCACTGGATGGAATCTGGCCCGTAGCTGTGACAACTACTATTGGTGGTGGATTAGGAGGAGGAGGGGGACTGAAAAAAAACACTATGAAACATTCCAGATGGGAAGAATGTGGATTAAATGCTAAACATTGTTGAAAACACCTAATACACAGATTCATGGCTGTAAAACTCAGAGAGAGTTAAAGTCACCTGTCCTTTTTGTATTTCACAAATGAGGAAGATACAGTGATTGACAGGTATAGGGACTCCAGAAAGGTCATCTGCTCACCAGTAGCAGAGCCTGGCTCTTCTGGCTCCATGCTCTAGCTCTGGTTCCTACTCAGAGAACCAAAATACAGCCCAGATGTTTAAACAAAACAAACCTATCAGCGCTGGCCCAGCCACATCCTAGTATAAAAATGACTGATATTTTACATATCATTTAAAGCAACAGGGATCTTTCCTTCCTATAAGAAAAGTAGTCATAGTCTATATTTCAGGCTTCAGCACTAAGGTTAGGGAGTTCTAAAATACAGCTTTTTCTTCCCACAGATACATAAGAAATGCGTCTACATGGCTGAACGCTATTACTGGATCAGATAGGAGTACATTCAAATACAGGATAGTTTCTGAAAAATGCCACCATTTCAACCAGTGAGAAAGCAGAAAGCTGAGAACTTACAACTGCATCATCTTTCCTCACCCCTCGGGACCTCTGCTTCTCTCTTCCAGAACCTTCAGAAACCCATTGTTATATTATCTTAGATGTGATATTTATTTCTGCTCTGAGATTTAAATACTAAGCAATAAAATATCTCTGAAGTTTAAAGGACAAGCCAATCTAAAAATGGCCCCGCTTATAAAGCCATTTGCTACCTGAACAATATTAATTTTCACATTAAAAAAATAAATAATCTAACTAGACTTTATTGTACCTGCCAGTCTTTTAAAAGACTTCGTCCCTCAATTGAAATCTAATGTGAAATTCTTTTTAAAGGCAGAGTATAAGAATTTCTATACAATATTGAATGCCATTCCATTGGGGAAAATAGGTAGACCACCACTAAGCCACTCAGGTGACAGGAAGCACCTGCCAACAGAGTCTCCTTCCTTAGTCAAAGGATCGCGGCTCCACCTTGACTGATCTCCACAGCAAGAGTCCGTGTTAACTGGGGGATGCCGCCTGTGCTTTCCCATCAACCCATCAGTCTGAGGACGGCTTCCTCCAGAGGTGAAGGGCTGCTTGAATTCTGAAATGTAGTCTGGACTCCAAGGAGTAGTCTTTGTAGTTGTTTCTGAAGACAATGAAGAATAAAAGGACAGTCAGCACTTCTCTGTCCAGCAGGGCTCCCCTCCCCTCCCCTGCTGTCCCCTCCCACTGCCCATGGCCCACCCCCTTCTCTGCCACCCTCTGGTCTCCAATTTACTTTCCCATTTTCACAAGTGTATCAGTGGTGCTGGATAAAAAGCAGATTCCTTCTGTGGGGCAAAGTGAACCGTGAGTCTACATTCTAGGTTTCCAGAAGCTTCCCGATGGTGACTTAAAAGGTCATACTTTTGAGTTGCAACAATCTAATTACCAGAGCACAACTACAGCAAGGTCATGAGGGCTTGGCGTATTTTGTTCCATTGCTAAATGGTTCAACTTCTATTTTTAGAGGAAAATGTTATGGCAGTTCATATAACACAATGGTCATGAACAATCCATTATTCAACTGAAGAAAAGTGCCTGGAAACCCACATGAAGCTGCTCTAATAAAGACAGCAGGGTGACCCTGTGACCCCCAAACCATTTATTCCAGTTCTCATACAGGTTATCAGTGGTTTCCTCACTAACGACTCCATTAGACCAGTGCCAGAAGGGACCACAAGAGGGGAGGGGGGAACACAGTAAGGGGGGGGGGGGGAGGGGGGAACACAGTGAGGAGGGGGGAGGGGGGAACACAGTGGGGGGGGGGAGGGGGGAACACAGTGAGAAGGGGGGGAGGGTGGAACACAGTGAGAAGGGGGGAGGAACACAGTGAGAAGGGGGGAGGGTGGAACACAGTGAGAAGGGGGGGAGGGAGGAACACAGTGAGAAGGGGGAGGGGGGAACAGTGAGAAGGGGGGAGGGTGGGACACAGTGAGAAGGGGGGAGGGAGGAACAGTGAGAAGGGGGGAGGGTGGAACAGTGAGAAGGGGGAGGGTGGAACACAGTGAGAAGGGGGGAGGGTGGAACACAGTGAGAAGGGGGGAGGGTGGAACAGTGAGAAGGGGGAGGGTGGAACACAGTGAGAAGGGGGAGGAACACCATGAGAAGGGGGGAGGGTGCTGTGGGATGTTCTGTATGGCAAATGTGTTGCTGATTAGTCAATAAATAAAACACTGATTGGCCATTGGCTAGGCAGGAAGTATAGGCGGGACAAGGAGGAGAATAAAGCTGGGAAGTGGAAGGCTGAGTCGGAGAGACACTGCCAGCCGCCACCATGACAAGCAGCATGTGAAGATGCCGGTAAGCCATGAGCCACGTGGCAAGGTATAGATTAATGGAAATGGATTAACTTAAGCTGTAAGAAAAGTTAGCAAGAAGCCTGCCACGGCCATACAGTTTGTAACCAATATAAGTCTCTGTGTTTACTTGGTCGGGTTTGAGCGGCTGTGGGACTGGCAGGTAAGAGAGATTTGTCCTGACTGTGGGCCAGGCAGGAAAACTCTAGCAACAGAGGGTGGAACACAGAGGTAGAGAAATTGCCTGGCACACAGAGAATCTGGGGTCAATCCCCAGAACCATGGGAAAAAAAAGCAGGAAGCACAAAATCCAAAAATTACTTGAAAATCTGACTATAGTGCTTTAAATGATAATGGCCCATAGGCTCACAGGGAGTGGTACTAGTAGGAGGTGTGGCCTTGTTGGAGGAAGTGTCACTGAGGTTTCAAATGCTCAAGCCAGGCCCAGTGTCTCTCTCCCTGCTGCCTGTAGATCCGGACATAGAACTCTCAGCTCCCTCTCCAGCACCATGTCTGCCTGCATGCCAACATGCTTCCTGCCATGACAATAATGGACTAAAGCTCTGAACTGTAAGCCAGCCCCAATTCAATGTTTTCCTTTATAAGAGTTGCTGTGGTCATGGTGTCTCTTCACAGCAATAGAACACTGACTAAGACAATGATTTAAATCACTCATGTTGACCTCTCCTTGCTAAAATTGTTAGGAATTGGCAAAACGGATGAACCAGCTTCAATTTAGATCTCCTGGTTTCAAACCCTGACTTGGCAGACAGACAGCTGATGGCTCCTTTGAAGTAGTGTTTCTATTTTCTTTTTTTTAAGCACACTTTCTTGGTAACTTTGATGAGTGTTAGTATGACATACTGTTCACAGATTAAAATGAACCTCTTACTAAGATTTACCAAAGAACACCGGAGTATTTTCTCAATTTCTGGCCACTTTGAAAAGCCCATGCTACGAAGGGGAACTGCAGACAGACATGGTCCTCAAGTCACGGGAAGGTGTGTTTATGTTTGCCCTATCGGCACTGTCTGGCTAGTCGTGGTTTGGAGGGCTCTGCAGTGGTAAAGAGCTCTTTCCACATCACCTGCTGCTCCATCTGTACTAGTAGCGCTATATTCCAACAGTCAATGTCTGAAGCAGCAGTCTGCACAGTGCAGAGTGTCCCACAGCTTCCTCTGAAGATGCACAGTGCAGTGTCCCATAGCTTCCTCTGAAGATGCACAGTGCAGTGTCCCATAGCTTCCTCTGAAGATGCACAGTGCCCCATAGCTTCCTCTGAAGATGCACAGTGTCCCATAGCTTCCTCTGAAGATGCACAGTGTCCCCATAGCTTCCTCTGAAGATGCACAGTGCAGTGTCCCATAGCTTCCTCTGAAGATGCACAGTGCAGTGTCCCATAGCTTCCTCTGAAGATGCACAGTGCAGAGTGTCCCCATAGTTTCCTCTGAAGATGCAGTGTCCCATAGCTTCCTCTGAAGATGCAGAGTGTCCCCATAGCTTCCTCTGAAGATGCAGAGTGTCCCCATAACTTCCTCTGAAGATGCAGAGTGTCCCATAGCTTCCTCTGAAGATGCACAGTACAGAGTGTCCCCATAACTTCCCCTGAAGATGCAGAGTGTCCCATAGCTTCCTCTGAAGATGCACAGTACAGAGTGTCCCCATAACTTCCCCTGAAGATGCAGAGTGTCCCATAGCTTCCTCTGAAGATGCACAGTGCAGTGTCCCATAGCTTCCTCTGAAGATGCACAGTGCACAGTGTCCCATAACTTCCTCTGAAGATGCACAGTGCAGTGTCCCATAGCTTCCTCTGAAGATGAACAATGCAGAGTGTCCCATAGCTTCCTCTGAAGATGAACAATGCAGAGTGTCCCATAGCTTCCTCTGAAGATGCACAGTGCAGAGTGCCCCATAGCTTCCTCTGCAGATGCACAGTGCAGTGTCCCATAGCTTCCTCTGAAGATGCACAGTGCAGTGTCCCATAGCTTCCTCTGAAGATGCACAGTGCAGTGTCCCATAGCTTCCTCTGAAGATGCACAGTGCAGTGTCCCATAGCTTCCTCTGAAGATGCACAGTGCAGTGTCCCATAGCTTCCTCTGAAGATGCACAGTGCAGTGTCCCATAGCTTCCTCTGAAGATACACAGTGTCCCCATAGCTTCCTCTGAATATGTATGGACACCATAGCCAAACACATCAGCTGTCCTCATGTCCAACAAGTTAACCTTTTAAAGCAGCTTCTTCCTACACTGTCCATGTATCTTTTAGAAAAATCTTGGTGGCACCATGTCCCTAAAGCTTCTTCCCCCTATTACACTGTGTTCACAGCAAACATGCCTACCACCTTACCACAGTCGCTGACTCCATTCCTCGCCTCATGCCCCTGTCAGGTCACACATGACCGCTATAGCTTTGGTCTTCTTATGCTGCTCAACTTCTTGGCAGCTGCACTCATTAGCAACCATTCTTCCTACTTTCTAATTTTGGGCTTATCATATTTGAATGCTTCTTGGCTGATAACCAGTTGTATGAATTCAGAGATTTCATGTTGATTTCATCATTATTATTGGACTGTATATGATGCATTGGTAGGGTACTCATGCCACAGAGCCTGTGAAGAGGTCAGAGGACAACTCTGGAGTTGGCTTTTTCCTTCTACCTTTATGTAGGTTCTGAGAATAGAACTCAGGTCTTCAGGTTTGTGGGCACGCTCTTGACTCTCTGAGCCATATGTTGTACTTAACCATTTGGAACAACCGTAAGTAAACCTTGACATATGTAGAAAAATTAAACAGTAACAATTTGCCATCCTCTTAACTCCACTTAGTCTTACTAAGATCTTTGACTTCAAATCATACGGTTTAATCTCAAGACTGGAATGTTCCAGACACTGTACAAGACCTCCATCTCCTGCTCTGTAGCTTAACAACCTCAGGAATGATGGCTTTGAGCAGCTCTCTCTCTGTGCTGGGGACTGAGGTTTGTATCCATGTGACCCTGACTTTAGCACTGAATACAGCTGCATATCTCCTCATCAGCTCACCCTCTCCATGTGGATATCTAGCAGCCACCTCCAAGTATTATAGCCCTGAGATATAATACTCTCTTCACAAAAACCTGTTGCTCTGAGTGTTCACCAGTCGGGAAAAAAGTATCACTGTCCACCTACTAACCAAACTACAGCCACGTCTTGTACAGGATGCTCCCTACACAGCCTCCCAGTGACCGACCTTTTCCAAACTAGGTAACTAATGCTGGTGTCAGCTATCACCTCCTCCCAAGAATCTCAACTCCATTAACATCCAGGTGCCCCAGACAGACACTGGACATTTCAGCAGACTACTCTCAATTCTCGGTATCTTCTTCGAGCTTAACCCTGCAGAGCATCCCTGTTTACAGCAGCCTCTCCATGGCCTTCATTGTATCTGGTATATGACAGGCATTCAGTGAATCTGAAGAAATAAACCAGAAATCAACTAAGCTATTTAGACCTACAAGTTTTGGCTTTGGTTTTTGGTTTTGTTTGCTCTCTGTCTGTCTGTTTTTGACACAAGGTCTCACTTTGTAGCCCAGGCTAGTCTCCCACTTGCGGCAATGCTGCCTGGGATCACAGTATGGATCACAAGCGTGAGCTACTACACTCACTGACCTAAAGTTTTTACGGCATTCTTTCTCCACTGCCCCAAGTACTCCAGACAAACAGACTGCAGGGTTTTGCCTTGCTGAAAGTGGGCCATGATCACAAATCTGAGTCACTATCTAGCAGAAATGATGAGACACTAGAGTTACCATAGGAGGAAGAAATGAATGCAGGGGGAGAGTCTCACACGATCAGAGGTTCTTGAAGGAAATGGCAGATATGATTTATGTGACAATGTTTGTTGGTCAGAAAATTAGGACCCAAAGACCAGCTCTGATCACACCCATTGTTCACTTATCTTCTACACTACAGCCACTTACAATATATTAAGTGTAGTCAATAAACACCTTACACTCTAAAACCAATACTCACTCTAAGGCCAAAATACCTTCTGCTTAGCCATTTGCAGGAAAGGTTGCTGACTCCTAACACAGAAGAGAATAAGCTGAAGCTGGTCAGCTAGGTGCACACATAACATCTCTAGGTAGTCACAGAGCGATGGACTGAGAAGCTCGAAACAGCACAACTATACCAAAAGCCCATGTGCAAACACACACCCAAGTTAGCAAAAGCAGTCACGCTAGCTTGCACTAGCTCACTAGCTTCAGGGAGTACGATGTCACTGCTGCCGCTGCATTGGCTCTGATGTCTCCCACTCCACGTCACCAGGGCAAAGTGACCATCCATACTCACCTTGCAGTTTCGAGGGCCTTTATGGCCTTGTCAACTTCCCCTTGGCTTTTATACAAAAATGCCAACTCAAACAGAGTGAATGGCACCAGATAGTGGTCATACTTCAGTAGCTTTTCACTAAAAGGGCAAATAAAAATCAGTTAAGTCTTAACAGAACACAAAAAGTATCATTTGAAACACATATCATTCTTCATTTCCCAGACAACACTAAGACTATCACCAGAGGAAGGCCGCTGTTGCACAGATATGGTACTTAACAGTCTATGGACTGAAGTATGCTTCCATACACTAATCTTTTGTTCCTTAATGGATGGCCAGCACCGGTGTGGCACTGCCTCTCAGGCAGATCAACACACACAGAGACCTTCCAGATGAACCTCGAGAAGACAAGGGCATCTTCATGAGCATGTGACTCTAAGTTCAGTGATAAGGAAGTCTCATTAGTTTTGTGTTTAACAAGGCATCGACTTCCTTTGTAGTTAAGTCTTAGAATTCTTCAAAACGTCAATGACTCCGTGGCTGGGGGTTCTGTCTCAGCATCATTATGAAAACTAGAAGTTTAGGAAAAAGCCTGAGTAACAAACAGCCTTTTAAATCTAGAGCGAACTGTTTCTCTAGTTGTAACTGGAATGGGTTTTTCGGTTTTGGTGGTGGATAAGTACACAAAAATATATTGATTATTAAAAGCATAAAATCCAATGTGAAATCTCACAACTTCCATTTTGAATGGCTACTCTGACTGTTCACTGACTTGTATAGTTTTTGTGCCAGGTTAACTTTAGTGTGTGATTTTTATTTTTATTTGTAACCTTTAATAAACTTATAATTTAATAAATTTGTAACCTTTTAAATAAAGTTTAAAATAAATTAAACAATGATAATAATCTATAGCTCAGTTTACCACGCTATAACCCAAACTACTCTCAGATGCCAAGGACAAGTAAGAGTAAGACAGCAAGACTAGTTATGCTGAAGGCGCCCTGGGGTCTGCAGAGGGACCTGAGACTCGGAGTCTCAATGGCCACACAGGAGATGAGGCCCCAGACCCATAGAAAGCAGGTGGCTGGAGCTGAACCCCCTAAGCTTAGAAGGTAGACTCTGTCCCTTGGAGAAAGTAGATTAAAGGAAAGCCACTCACAGGTAAGGAACAAGACAGATGATGGCCTCCTTTTGCCTGCACTTTTGACACCAAGAAAAAACAAAACACATCTCTTTGGAAATTAACAACAAATAGGCCAGTCCTCACAGAAATTTGCAATTCAAATTTACATTGCTCAAGAGATCCAAAAACTGTTAAACATGATATTAACATGACAGTGGCTTTGGCAGAAGCCAAAGTAAGTGGTGTAGGAAAACTCTTCCATAATTTAACCCAAATGACTCCCTGTGAGAGTCAATAAAACAAAGCAAGCAGCACACACGGTCACTGTTGTCATGGCCCCTGAACCTCAGGAAAACACCAATAAACTAGAATCGCACGGATAGTTCTTTAGTGTGTTCACCAAATACAGTAGATCATCTCATTTGGGAACTAGATACTGTGCCCTACGTTCTCATAAATATTGTCCTGAGGAAGGGCACTGTATGGCCTCCATCTTTATGGCTTGCAGGGTTTTTAAAAACAATGAGCCAATGTTTAAAAACCAGAAGATCTGACGTTAGATGCGGCTTCCAGTTCTTTACAAACAGTGGTAGGGTCCACCGTTACTGGGCCCACAGGCACCGGCCCTTGCTCCAGCCCCCATCAGGGCAGCACTGTCATGCTATAAAAAAAGGATCGCCGTCCATACAAGAAACGGGTCATCTTTAAACACTGAGCGGAAGTACATAAAGTCGCATTCCACACAGACCGTAGCTATGTGCATGATACAGGCCTGGCACATCACTTTGTCCCAGAGAGTCCCCTGGAGCCACAACTTGTCCCCAGGCTGGCTCTTACCTTTCCACAACGTAGTTGAAACACAGCTCAGCTTGCAAGGGCCGCTGTAAGTTCTTGAGGCAGCATCCTTTTAGCAGTTTCACTAAGCACTCATCATCCACCGAGTCAGTAAAGTCTTAAAACAGGAAGCAGACAAAGGGGAAAGGGGCATTGTTTTCTGTGGTGCCTGGGGTGAATGCCAGCCCCTCCTCTGTAAGAAGCAAACATTCAGCTGCCATGCCAGTGCAAAATCCTTTCCAAAAGTCCCAACTGAGAGGAAGACTAACTGATGGTGGGTCTCAGGGGGACCATTTAAAACTAAGTTTACTAACCTACTGTACAAAACAAAATGAAAACACTCGTTCAGAAGAACGCTGAATTTACTCATTTACACCATTCACTAAGGGAGACTTCACAGGCAGATTTTTCAGGTGGTCATAGGGAATTTTGTGGCCTTAGCTACAACAGGAAATCTGAACTCTAAATAAAGAATGAGCTTCATTAATTCTCTCAGAGGTAAAGGAGGAGGAACCAGGCTGTCTCCTCCTGTTGTTTTGGCTTCTAACTACGCTGGCGTCCGCACAGGAGAGGATAGCACTTCCATATGGAGAAGCAGATGGCCTCCCACCCGTTGGAAACGCAGGAAGCAGACACCTCTCTTCCAGATCATTATGTTTACAACCTATCAATTCTCTCAGGTTATGTTCTTTTGGGGGAAAATTATGCCACGAAATGGTTCTGAAATACAGGAAAGGTACCTAAAGTCGCCTGAAACTTCCATGCTCCAAGAGAATGTCAAGAATTTCCTTTCCTTACTCAGGCTCCTGCCTTCTCCAGCTCAGTCTGCGTACATATTAAGCAGAGTGAACCACATGGTGTGGCGGCTAGCTGTCAAAGGTAGCCATGCCACGTGTTCCGTGCGTGAAGACTTTTCTGCTTTTTTTCCTTTGCAAGTGACAGGCAAAGAAGTCATTCCAAGACAGACTGCTAATTTACACGTTTCAGGCTGTGACAACAGTGTGGAGAGGTGGTAAAGGGAACTGACTAGACCCTGGAAGTTTCCACAGTGCAAGTCTCATGCTTTGGGTTCAAGTCTCCGATCTCATCAGTGACACATGCTGGTGTTTCAGTTGGTAAACCTCACCTATGGGAGGTTAACAGTGCTACTCACCCAACTAGGAGAGGTTCCGTTCACTTCTAAGTGTTTAAACATATGAGACCCTCCTCTAACTGTCAAGTGCTGGTATGTCATGGGCCACACACTAGCAAAACGACAGATAGCAACACCTCTAACCTTTCCTACTACTGACTCAGCACCACCTTACCTTACACCCTCCCACTCCTAATCCACACTTCTTTTAGAGATGTCTGCAGAGAAGCAGGGCAGTCAGGCCCAAGTCCACAGCCAGGTCCACACTGGACGCTACTTTTCAGTCTCAGCTCTGTACATTCTACTGAATTCTGAGAAGCAGTTTTCTAATTGTTTGTGTTATGACAACATCTGCTTGCTCAATGAATGATGATTTTGGAGGTGGCACAGACAACCACCTTTGAAAACCCAGGAAAGTCACTCTGTGGAGATCTTAAGTTAGTGTTGTGACAGAGGGGTTCATATTCCACATCTTCAACAAACCTCAGAAGCAAAGCCACAGTTTCCTCTGACCACGCACGCGCCTGTCACATGATCACTCCCCTGTATGATTTGCACTCTCACGAAAGAGGAAGAGTTGAACAGTTTCCATTTTCCACTGGGGGGAAAAAAATCACTGCAACAAGGCTGGCGAGCTGGCCTGTGGGTGAAGGCACCTGCCAGGAAGCCTGAGCTGGACCCCCAAGACCCCACATGGTAGAAGGACACTACCAGTGTCCACAAAATGTCCTCTAACCTACACACACACACACACACACACACACACACACACACACACACACACACACGCATGCACGCACGCATGCACACAGAGAGAAAGAGATGACGTTTGAGAAGGTTTTTGTTTTTTAAATCACTGTAACAATGCCCACACTCACGTGCTGTCTATACTGAGCATTACAGAAGCTCACTGCAGTGTACCCAGAGGGAGACGTGAAAGCTGACTGAACGGCTAAAGCTGCCAGGCAGGCCTACCTTCCTTTACGCAGCTGACTCTACTTGCTACAGAATGTCGCCACACAAATGAACCGCAGTGACAGACGAAGTGGATCTGCTCCAGCTTCTGGCTACATGATGAATTTGGTGAGACTCCCAAAGAAAACAGGACAAAAATTCCCACCACACGCCGACTCTGAGCACGTCACCAAGTGCTCTTGCGTCTAGGCTGTGCCCTCTGTGTGGATGGCCAACCTTTACTTACTACAGCCAGGCTCTAAAATAGGCCAACAGTACCCTCTCCCCTCTTTGTTCACCACATTGACAAACTGAAAACCAGAACCACATCTGACACGGTATCGAAGAACGGGCTGCGGTGGAAGCCCCCTCAACCTCAGGCTTAGAACACCACTCAATTTTCCAATCACATCCTCCACCTCTCACTCTGAAGAATGGGAGCTTATTTACCAAGAGTCAGGAGTTTGGGGGCAGGGAAGACAATGTTCCTACATAAAACAATGGTCCTAAAAACCATCATAAACCTAACGCGCAGTGAGGTAGAGGTGACCCTGACAATAAAGCAATAATTTTACCCAGCGGGGGAACAGGACAGGACGGTCGGCAGGCCTGTGTCTCCGCTCATTTACCCACAACTCGCTCGGGCCTCTCATCTGAAGATGCCGCCATTAGAGACAGAAACACACAAGGCAGCGGTTTTGGTTTCTAAGCATCTCACGTGTATGAGCATGTGACGCAAACACGACTCCTTTAATCCTTTCTTCCCAGTCAATGGAGGGCAAAATAATCTGAGGGTAAAGAGTCCGCTCAGAGGAAAACCCAACGGTCGTTTGCAAACTCAGGACCCTTGATTGACAAGGGCTCCATTCTCGGGAGCTGGGAAGATGCAGGAGCACTCCACAGACGGGGGGTTCATGTATGGAAGTTTATCCTACTCAGTCCAACCTGTCTGTGCAGGGGGAGGTGGGGGCAGTAACAGGAGGAAAGCTGGCTTTTTTTCTCGGGGAGCATCCTACAACTGTTTTCACACAACCCCCCAGAAATGTTTTCCTTTACTTTCCAGTTCTCACATAAACATCCATTCATCCATTTAATTTGTAAACATGCAGGCTTTAATCTAGAGAATTATCATAAAGGCAAGAGCTATCTGTAGTTAAATTCATTGAACTACAGGGAGCACTACTAAATTTGTTCAAGATTTTGAATTTTTGGAGAAGTCCATCTCAAACTCTTATTCTAAAAACACCTGGTTTTTATTTTGTGCGTATGAGTATTTTGCCTGCATGTAATGTGTACCACACACACCTGGTGACCATGGCCAGAAGAGGAGGCCAGGTCCCCTGAACATGGAGTTACAGGCAGTTATAAGCTACCATATGGGTGATGGAAATAGAACCTGGGTCCTCTGCAAGAGAGGCGAGTGTTCTTAACCACTGGGCCATCTCTCCAGTCCCTAAATCTTATTTTACTTTATTTTCTTTGGGGGGGGGGGAAGGGAGGTTCATAACAGGTCTCCTTGTGTGGCTCTGGCTGTCCTGGAACTCACTCTATAAACTCAGGCTGGCCTCGAACTCAGAGATCCACCTGCCTCTGCCTCCCAAGTGCTGGGATTAAAGATGTGTGCCACCACCACCTGCTCTAAATCTTTATTTTTTTAATATACTTGCATTTTATCTCAATTTCAAATTATGTGGTTGTATTGATTTCCACAAAAGAAAATCTTTTTCTTTCAACAATAATTTCACAATAAAATAGCAAAGATTATCTGTGTTAGATTGGCTACTATTTAATTTTGTTTTATGCGTATCAGTGCTTTGCCTGCATGTATGTCTGTGCATCACATGTATGCCTGGTGGCCATGGAGTCCAGAAGAGGGCATAGAATGTATTGTGGGTCTGAATATAAAGCGATGGAACCACTCAAACCACAACACAGAGGTGCTAAAACATACTGAGATTTAACTGTCCCTAGCCAGGGTTGAGAGGTAAGAACTTTAGGAGGGTGGTGATGAGTGCTGTGTGTCTCAGTCTCTCTCCATGCAATGCTTCTGCCATGCTATAGGGCAGCAAGAAGCAGCTCCTCATCAGCTCTAGCACCTTGATCCTGCATTTGCAACACCTAGTCTCCAGACCCATGGAAACACACTTTTTTCCTTCATAAATCACCCAGCCTATATTATTTTGTTATAGCAGCAAAAAAAGACTAAGAAAAGCAATTCCTTACAAAAATGCTAACTGATCCATCTTTAAACTGGCCCACAATGGCTGTGCCATAACAGTGGAACCACATTCTATATGGTCTTCTGTGGCAGGCATCCACAAAAAGTGCCATCCTCCCTTTATCTTGAAGACAACCACCCAGACACCAGAAGCTCAAGTCCTGCTCTTGAGATGCACAGATCCACATGGGCAGATGTGCACCAGGGAGAGACCAGAGAGGAAACAGAGCCGAGACAAAGACTCTACACTTACTCTGATTTTGTAAAGCTGCCTCAGCCTTCTCCACAGTCACCAAGAGGTTTTCAGAAAGGTCCTTTCTCTTGCCCACTATTGAAAAGCCATTCCAGACGTACATCATCTCCTAAGGAGGAAGGATAGAAGAGCATATGTGAGGTTGTCTGCTAAGGACTTCAACATGACAGTCAGGATCTTGTTCTTACCTTTCTTCATTTATAATTTAGTGACATAATTTCCCCTGGGTTTACTATATGCCTTTTGTCTGTCAGGCTCTGAGTTAAGTGAGCATATATCTTATACTCTTAGTAAAAATTCATCAATTCATTCAACACACACACACTAATTATCTACTAGCATACAATTCTTTGGATAGAATATAGATACAGAAGTAAAATAGTATTTTAAACTGACACTAAGAACAATTTTGTTTAATGTAAATTTTTGTTGTTGCTTTTAAGTAAAGGGAAATATTTTAAAATGTCTGCTAGTTGTTTACATAAAGTGTTTCCAAGCATATCACTAGAAATGATCATTGGAATATTTATTTTACTGGGCTCAGGTTCTTTTATATCATTAAAAACATGTGTCGGCCCAGTAATGTGATCCAATATGCAGAAAACACGTTTGTTTAAAGGCCATATGGCTGAATGACAGCTCCTGAAATGTAAACTAATGGCTTCTCCTTGCAGATTATATTTAATGGGCTAACAGATGAGAATTTTTTTTGGATCAAAAGCAAATGTGTTTTTGCTTGAAAATATTTTTCTAATGTCCAGATAGTGCAGTTCATATTTTGAAGGGTATACGATGAGCATGAATTTTAAAATACGGCAGATATTGTTTGAGAATCCTCTTAGCCAGAGCAGCCATGGAAACGCAGTAGCAAATGATGGCGTCAGGTTTGCTTTATGGCAGTGGAAACCAAGAACACAATTCAGTGATGACATTTTTAAAGCGAAGATATAAATTTTTTTATGGATATAGTATTTATCAAAGGAAGAAGCAAGTTTGGTTTAAATTTTTTATGAAAAACAGGCTGTGGCAACATCCCTAGGTATAACCAATTCTAGTCAATTCTTCGTCACTGTGTACCCACCAACCTTCAGTGACTCAAACCGTGATAGAGTCCTAGATATTCCAGTGTCTAAGTATTAATGTAGACAAAGAAATATAATGGGCCAGTAAAGTTCCTGGCCAGTTCTCTGACATAGAAAGTTCTTTGACAACGCAAACCACCTGATATCAATGGATGTGGAGCAGGGCTAAAGCCGCTGAGGGCAACAGCAGGTATCAACTGGGAGGGGGTTTGCAGTCTGTGTTTAGCACAATCGTCTTGTCATTGTCTGTGCTCAGGACACAAGTACAGGTCCATCACACTTCCATCCCACCCCGTCACTCTAATCTTCGGGTTCTGTGGGAAACACAGAACTGTAGGCTAGCTCCTGTCTGAACCGTCAGGGGCTATATTCTTATTCCTCTTAAAACACACGAAGGACTTCTGAGAGTCAGCAACAAAACAAAAATCACCCAATGAAACTAAAGAAGGATATAAACAACAATGCAGAAAGAAACTAAAATGATGAGCCCACGAAGACACCTAGAAGTGTTAGCACAGAAATGCAAATTAAAAGAAGGATGTATTATCAGTCATTTGAACTGATACAGTATTGGGGGGGGTTAAGAAATTTAACATTATCTATCCAAACATTAACACATAGCCTTCAACTAAGAAATCCATTTCTTTGAAAACATTCCCAGAGAATTACATGTACATGTAAATGACATTCATTGTAACATGTCTATGACAATAAAAAAAACTGGAGAATGCTACATAACTTTCAAAGGAGAATGATTAAAAAATCCCCCAAGTTACAAAAGTCTCACAGAACCAACCAAGAGGAGGACTGCGACACCAGGAACACTTTCCTGTGCCAAGGCTGGAGAGTCATAGCGGTGTGGCATATCCAACACTCTTAAAACAAGGCTTTGTTTTAAAAATCTGTCAAACTGTGTTTTCAAAGAGGCTTTGCCAAAACTGAGGTGATTGGGAGGGTTAGTTCAATCAGGACTGGAGCAGCCAGCAGCCCAGGGCCCCTCCGCCATGGAACCCGCTAGTCGAAAGGGAAGTTCCTCTCTGGTGGGAAAGCCATATCTACGAAAGGCTGTGATATAAAAGGACGTGGCACAGCTCAGGGATGACGTTCTCTCGTTTACAATTCCACATCAATATGGCGAAGTTTTGATACATGGGTTAGACATATTTCAGGGGTGGGGAAGGCAGCTGGTTTGTGAAGGTCTCTTTTTGTAGCCTAGGCTGGTCTGGAATTCACTATGCAGCCCAAGCTGGCCTCAAATTTCAGCAATTCTCTGGCCCTGGCAGCCCAGGTGCTAGGATTACAGGTATGAGCTGCCATGCCTAGATTAAACAAACTATATTCATGAAAAACTATTCTTTAAAGGTTTCCTTTGACTTTTTTGCACACAGCTATTAGAAAATGTCAAGTTGAATTTGTGGTTTGTTTTGTAATTCAATTCCACTTTAGTGAAGCCATCTTTTTCTCCCTTAGGTTCCAACTTCCTCATCTGAAACATGGAGCTGAGACTGCAATTTCCTTTCCGATGAAAATCACATGACAGGATTTCTCACAATGTCTAGAACATACTGGCCAATCAAAAAGCCTCAGGTAAAATTTCAATTTTTAAAAATTAATTTATGTAAAAAAATTAATTTATGTATAAATATACACTAGTTCTTCACTGAGCTATAAGCTTCACAACCAAAGGTAAATATATTCCTTGATGCTCTCAATAGTGAATTCATCTCTAGTATGTAAACAGTGAATAAAAGCAGGTACCAGGGCAGGCAGGACGAGCTTTCCTGGGGCGCCTGAGGAGGGTGAGTACCGACGAGCCTTCCTCACAGCGAACTTCTCAGTTGGAAGAGATTTCCCCGCGATCCTCTGCTTCAAGCCATCTACCTGTCTGTGAAGATCCCCAGGGAAAAGCCAGTGAGCACACATATTATTCCCAACTGAGGTTTTCATCCTACATCATAGGCCAGTAGCAGCTGGGAACCTGTTCCAAATGCGCCATTACTGCGCTGGGAACCTGTTCCAAATGCGCCATTACTGCGCTGGGAACCTGTTCCAAATGCGCCATTACTGCGCTGGGAACCTGTTCCAAATGCACCATTACTGCGCGTTACCCCAAACCTGAATCAGCAGTCCTAGGGTTGGGACCAGAATCTCAATTAGGTCGCACATTCAGGTAATATGAACGCACAATTCCAGGAGAGCCACTAATTCACATATTTCCTGTTAGTCAGCTTAGCTAGTATCTCACAGTTGTCAAACACAGTCCAGGCTAATCCAGGTATAAAACTGTCAATTTCCATAAGTACGCAGAAAAGAAAAGAGTGTACATGAGTGTATTTCCTGTTCTTCTTTACAGATACTGCACAGATCTATAACATAATGTGTCTCAGAAGAGAGCCATCCATTTATGCAAATTTGCGATAGCGAACCAAGCATAGGTAATTTTGTAAATAATCATCTCAGGATTTAGTGTTTTCAAAATTCTAGGGAACTTGAACTGGGAGATGTCTCAGTAAGAGTGCCGGCTGTGTAAGCGTGAAAAACTGAGCTCAAATCCTCAGAACCCAGGTTGGTTCACGCATGTGCCTATGACCCAGTCAAATAGGAAGGTAACATGAGGGGCACCAGGATTTGCTGGCCAACAGCCTGGCTCCAGATTCAGCGAGACTCTGTCTAGAGGGAATAAGGCAGGAAGTAGTAGAGTGGAATTCCTAATGTCATCCTCTGTCCTCTGCACATGCCTGGGTATGCATACAAACTCCTACACATAATGATACACACACACACACACACACACACACACATACACACACACACACACACACCTTGGTGTGCATACACACTCCTACACATAATACACACACACACACACACACACAATCTAAGCACATGAAAATGAAACTAAGATGGAGAGAGACTGTATGTTCATGGGGAAAGACTATATGTTTGGGGGGTCTCTTTCTTATGCATAATTTTATTAATGCATAAACAAGGGAAAGGATTAAAAAATATATCCAATTATATCACTGAAAGACTCAAATGAGGAAGAAAATAACCCCAGTGTGAAAGAGCAGGTGCAAAGCTCTGGTAATTAAACCCTAATTCTAGAAAACAAGTACAACAGTATGTGTCCATGATTCCCAGACATGCAAACAAATCTGAAAGTCATGCTGAAGAATGACATGCTGGCTCTCAGCTAAATTGTTACTCTAAGTGTGTCCATGTTAGTGAGTAGAGAAATTAAAAACTATGGAAGTAGAGTGTGAAGGGAGAGAGTCAGATGTGTCTAACATCCCCAGGGTCCCTGTGACAGAAACAGTGTTGTGCTCACCTGAACAGAGCCACCACATTCTCATTAGTCGTCGCCACATCCTCCTCTGGAAGCATGCTCAAAATGGCAGCTTTCAAGAACACATATGTTGCCTTGAGGAAACACAGACAAGGGGCTCACTAGAAAGCATGACATTTTAACCTTGCAAACGGAAGTGACCTAGAAACCTTCTAGACCTCACGTTAAAAGGTATCAAGGTTAACAGTCTTTCTCAATGGGGTCCCAGCACTAAGAAGGGTAAGTGGATATGGGGCCCCACCCCTAACCAAGAAGCTATTTGCAATTGACACCTGCTGGGAAAGGGCAAATCAGTTTTCTACAAGAGTATCACTGGGTATACTGATCACACTCCAGGGCAGGATGTAGCCCCATGCCTAGGAGTAACTGGCAAACGTAAAACGAACTCCATGTTTTTGGTTTTTGTTTGGTTGGTTGGTTTTTGTTTTGGTTTGGTTTGTTTTGGTTTGGTTGAATTTTTATTTTGTTCTGAGATTTTTGTTTTATTGATCCTTTCTGTGTTTTGATTTTCATTTTTATGATTATGGGTTTGTTTTTTTAAAGAAAGGGGGAGAGCATAAAGTAGGGTGGGCAGGGGGGAATCTGGGAGGAGCTGAGGGAAGGGAAACATGATAAATATACATTGTATAAATGGAATTTTTAAATTAAAAAAATGAAACAAACACAGGTTTTAGCTCTCTGCTCTAATGAAGTGCTGAAATGCTCTGATGGAGCTAATGGCATGTCTATAATCCCAGCACATGGGAAACTTAGGCAGGAGGGTCACCACAAATTCAAGGTCAACCCAGGATTCATAGTGAGTTCCAAGCTAGCCTTGACTACAAAGTAAAGTTCTGTCTCAAAAGACCAAAAACAAAAACAAAAGGAAAAACAGGTGCTCTAACACATGTGCACAATTGTCAAAACTGATTAAAAATGTCAGAAACTATTAAAAAAGTTTGTTTCAGATGACAGCAACACGTTTCAGCTTCATTCCGCTACGACAGGACTGTGCCATCGAAGGTGGGGAGTGGCCGGAACAGACAAAAGATGAGCTCTTCCTCCCAATGTCTCAAAAGGGGCTCAGAATTAACTTTAATTATCACCAAATTTGGTCACAGGGTACTAAAAGTCTACAAAAATCATTGATATGAAAGACTGTAAACCTACATGCAGTTTATCCTGGCAGTAAAATGCCTTTGTTGGAGAGCACTTTGGGGGGATTTCTAAGCCTGGAATGCTGAGGACAGACCTGTGATTTGTACCAGCTATTCACTGCCCACTCCCTCCTCCTCTGGTCTCTAAATTGAGAACATTGTCCATGCACATTCTTGAAAAATCAATCTTCAATGACAACCCACCGTGGCCATGTAGCAAACAGAAGACACTGAGTAAAGTAGGGCACTTTACCTTGGACCATTTACTCTCTTTGCAAAGGAGGTCTGAATAATAATACGCCTGCATCCAATTTTGTTGGTATATATAAATCCACATTAACTCCCAGTAACAGAGATGGTGAAACTGTTTCCACTCTTCTTGAACTGAAATGCATTTTCGAAACGTTTCTTGAGCCTATAAGTCAATTGCATAAAGCTCATCATCCAGACATTAGACAAGGATAATAACCTAATGGGAGAATACACAAAACACTTTGTACAGAAAGAACAGAATTAACACTCACTAAGCCACTCACTATGACACTATGTTCTCTTCCTCACGTGTGATGGTACAGTTAGACTCTGCCATGTTACTTCAGTTTGTGAGGGAACCTTGTACTTTGTATCACAGGAATAGAAAAGCCCCTTTCCAAGTGAGAGAGAAATGCCAATTCTTTCATAAAACACACACTATAATAGCATAAGAACCTCACTGGACAAAACATGCTTTAAATAAAATTCCAGGCCCTGGGAAGGCAAAGAGAAGGCATTGCTGCCCACAAATCAGCAAAAGGTTTAATGAGCCCTTATCAGAAAAACTGATAAAGATGTAACCAGGCAAATCAGAGAAAAGAATAAATAATCACTAAACATGTAACAAATTCACAAACTGGTTAACTAAATTTGAAGCTTGGGCTAGGAATGTAGCTGTGGCAAAGCACTTGCCCAGAATACACAAGACCCTAGATTTGACACGCACAACAAATAATAAGAGTAATAATAAAATTAAGTCAAAAATTCTTTTTTTTACATTCATCACATGGGCAAAAAAATGATAGAACAGAGACTTCCAGATCTGAAAAAGAGCACTAGAAATACAGATTCTCATGTTTAAAGAGTTATTAATTTTTATGTGTATTTGTGAGTGCCTGCACCACACATGTATGTGCACCACATGCATGCTTGGTGTCTACAGAGACCGAAAGGGGCGTCAGATCCCTTGGACCTAGAGTTATAGGCAGATGTGAGCCACCGGATGTGGGTGCTGGGAACTGAACCTGCAAGAGCAGCAGGTGTTCTTAACCACAGAGGCATCTCTCCAGTCTGTTTCTCATTTCTTTACAGAAGTTTATGTTGAAAGACTCTTAAGTATGAAAGGCAATCTGCCTGGACGACAAAGATGCAGGTGCCATCTGACCCAGAATTCTGTAGGGATGTATCTGCACAGAATGTACATGTGATGGTGGGCAGTGGCCAATCACTAGTAGCCACTTTAGTAAGTATAAATACCCATCAAAATGAACAGAGAGACTTAAATATACTGACCTGGAGGAAGAGCTAGGTTTAATATAAATAGAAATAAACACTTGCTCTCATTTGTGTGGAAGGACATCACACACACACACACACACACACACACACTTCTCTTCTGCTTCAAGGGAATTAATCAACTAGTTCCTTTGACAAGGAACCAGAGCAGTTACATCATAGGTAAAAGAGGTTCCCACATCAACGCAGAAATAGGTAATAGTTAAAGTTTTCTGAAACCCCTTAGATTGCCCATGTGCTATTTTACACATTCTTTTTAAAACTATGTTATATATTCTACCATGAACTATTTCACGTACTTTATGTATAAACATGAATTGAGGAAAGTTACTAAATATGACAACATACATGTAGAAGGTAAAAGCTTAGTTTTTCAGAATTGCATGATCTATTTATTTTTCTAGTCCACACAGACAAACTGACTTAGGTTGAATGACTGTGTGATGCCATCTACCACACAGACACTGCCCCCAGATAATCCTTGCTATAATAACTACCTTCTCAGCATTGCCCTTCAGCAGCTCGATTCGGGCATGATAGAACAGTATGAGCGAGCCCTGTGGAGAAAGGAAAGAGGATACTTCAACAGACAATGGTGGCTGACGAATCCTGGCCGAGACAGACACTGGACAGTGAGCATACATTTGGGAACTGCTGAAGGAAGGGTGCGAGGAGACTCTCTGCTTCCACCACGTTCACTTCTCCTGTACCTAGAAAGTGAACAGCCACGGCTTAGTGCTCACGAACCTTGGTACATACTTACAACCAACTCCCCAGTGTCACTAACATGCAACCAACACTCACAGACAAGATGAAAGTGATTATTCTGTCTTTGTTTTCATTTGAGAGGTACATGACTTAAAGAGCTCCAGGGAAGATAAATTCTTAAGAATGGAAGTGGCTATTTCAGATTCCCAGTGACTTTTCTACTTTTCAAGGCAATATTAACTTACTTTACTTCCAAATTTAATTTTATAAAAAAAATTGCAAATCTAACATGAATGTGGTACAATTCAGCAGCCCAATACATAAATCTTAACTGAGAATAGACTGTAACTCCAGGACCAGGAGATCCAATGCCCTCTTCTGGCCTCTGTGAGCTCCAGGCATGCACATGGTGCACAGACATACATGCAGACAAAACACTCATACACATAAAATAAATACATACATAAATACAACAAGTAACTTTTAAAAATGTTCAGTGAAAACAACCAGTCAAGTGTCTCGGCCAAAGATCACTATGACAAATCTCACTATCTTACAACTCAATCAATCAAAAGCACACAGAGCTCCTAGCTCTCACCGAGAATAAGGGAGATGTAGGTATGAAAGGCCAGGATGGTAAGGCAACAGAGCGGGGACCGCATGCTAGTTCCTGACGCGCCTTCCCGTAGCTGCAGGAGGCCTAGGTCCTGTGGAGAAAAATTGCATCACAGAAAGAGAAAAATCTGACTGAAAAGAGTACATTTAGAAAATTTCACATGTCATTCCTATGTCCTGCCCTCCGTGTACTTTAGGGTTTTGGAATAATGGTACTACTTAAACAGAAACAAACTTCACATTTTAAACTGGCAGAAGACAATCTGATGAATCCTTTTATAACTTTAGTTGTCCACATAACCTAGCCTGGAGTCACCTGAGAGGAAAGCTTACATTGAAGAACTGCCTAGTTCAGACTGGTCTGCTGGGGATCGTGCTGGATACAAGAAGACAGCCCACTGTGGGCAGCACCAATCCCTAGGCAGGTGGTATGGGGCTGTGTGAGAAAGCTAACTGAGCATGAGCCTATGAGCAAGCAATACAGCACACCAGCAAACAGACTTCCCCACACTTCCTCCCTCCAGGTTTCTGCCTTCCTTCCACAATGGACTGCAGCCTGGAAGTGTAAGGTGAAATGGACCTTTCCCTCTGCTACACTGTATTTGGTCAGAGCAGGAGAGATCAAACTAATCTGTATCCATTAGTGATTATAGAGAGAGGAATAAACTGCTCATTTCCAAGAAATACTGTATTTCTTTGATAAAATTAGGGATTCTGAGTTGGTGACATTCTTGTTTCAATGATAGAGCACATACCCAACCATGTGCAAAGCCGGCCTGGGTTTCATCCCCAGCACCACAGAAAGCCACACTGAGGTCCAAGCTTAGGCACTATGATGGGCAAGAACAAAGGATTCTATGCCTGTAGAGACCTGCCACCCAGTGGGGAGGGTGAGACAGGAACTCACTATCTACGGGACAGAGGAGCATCATCAGAAAGATGAACAGATGATTCTGGAAGTCAGAAACACTTGAACCTCACTGGAAAGTCTGAGGGAGCACTCTGTGGAAGAGATGGCATTTATCTCAATCCTAAAACACCAGGCACTCTTGAGAGAACATCATTTCCAAAGCTGTTGGGGAAGAATTCTACAACAGAGAAAAGCAGGAATTTCTGTCAAAAATAAGACAAAATGCCGTTTGTACCCTGTTTCCAGAAAATCCAATAAATTCTAGCAATCTGATAATTCTTGCTGGTAAAAGAGACAGCATCTGTAAGAAAAAATAGAAACTCAAGTGTACTTAGCTGTTAAAAACTTTAATTATAGATAACCCAATGGTTAATCCTAAACTGGTTACAAGTTCAAAAGCTCCCATAAACCAAACCAAGTTTAAACTGACTGTAACTCAGCGAGGAGACAAGGCCTGGCTTTCCATGGTCCCTAACCACCGGCTTGGCTCTTCTTGTGTGAAATGAAGTGACATAAAAGGAATTGTGGGCGAGGCTGCTTTTTGTGTTTTGTTTTGTTGACATAGGGAATCGTGTGTAGCTTAAGCTGGACTTGAACTTGCAGTGACCTCCTGCCTCCCAAGTGCTGGATTACAGGCATGAGTCACCACCATTCCTGGTTTAGGCAAGGTTTCCTTCAGCTTCTTTCTGGAAAGGACAAACTTAAGGTAATGTGGGTGATGTTCCAGCACTAATAGAAGTAGGCAGCCACAACAGCTCAGCTCCTTCCTGGGACATCTCTGAAGGACAGTGGGGAAGGGAAGTCTCCCAGAAATGGTCATATGTGTAGTGACAGACCAATTCACAGCTGTAGCCAGTGGGTTGGGGCTAGATGGCCAGGGGCTTAGGAGGAAGGAAGAGGTTTTGGATACATCTCTCTGAATGGGAGACACTGTGTCCCAGGGGCTTAGGAGGAAGGAAAAGGTTTTGGATATATCTCTCTGAATGGAGACACTGTGTCCCAGGTGAATCATGAGGGCTTTAACAGCCAAGCCAACAGAAGGGCAGTCTATGAGACAAGTCAGCCCGCTCTAACACTGATCAATGCACATGGGCTCATGAACATAGCCCTGGGGTCTATATGCTCCTAAACGTTATTCTTTTCACTACTCCATTTTCTAACCTGTTAAATCTTCTAAGATTTCCAAATCTCTAAATAACACATTGTATTCTGACAGTCTTACACAGACTCTGCATCTCCCCAGAGATCATAAACAATTGTTCCTCAAGTTATATCACTCCCCGTTTTCAACTCCAGAGCCACTGTTATCAGGACAACAATGTAGAACAGAACTAGACTCTAGGCTCCTCGTTACTAAAAAGCCTTCCTTATCAGTTCAATCAGGGTGCTACACGCTTCCCCTGCCCTGTGCAATCTAAAGCTACTCTGAGCATGTGCAGAACTTTGTAGCAGTCACAGCACAGGAAGACTGGTCTACTCCAGTGGCTCACAACCAAACACAGGTAGAGGTTTGGGATGACGTTCAAATACAGAAGAGAGATGCTGGACACTTAGTTTCGTCTACCAGAGGCTCTGGTTTCTATACAAATGTCACCTTACCAAGTTAAAGGCCCCTGTTCCGAGCTTGACACCTCCTTCAAACTCATAGAAGAAGTGCTGTTCTTGTTTGTTCTTTTGAATCACGTGCAGGATGGAAAGGCACTCTCTGGGTTGAGGAAAAAGATGGAGCATCAGCTTCCTGTGACTCTGACAAATACATGTTAAATCCAGTTTTCTACTTGTATTGTTTACTATAAATATACAAATTGTATACTATAAATGTCATTACCTAAAATATTACAAAAATGCAAAATATGATTTTAAGCCCATCTGCTCCTAAAGCTACTGGGTAATTCTCACTAAGGAGGAAGGGAACACCCATTTTTACAATGTTTAAGAGGATAGTGTTTGTAAACATAAAGAAAAAGAGAGATCAAGCATCAGCAAGCTCAACTTAGGAGCCACAGAATCTCAGGGCTTCAACCTCACCGTTTCCCTGGAGAGTTTTCCTGGAAGACTCCGGGAGTGTTTAGGTGGTGATGGTGGTGGCGGTGGTGGTACTGGTGCTGGTGGTGACTGAACCCAAGGCTCTCACACGTTAGGAAAGTGCTACTAGCTACCTCCCCAGACCTCAGATCATCTTCAAAAGACAATCAAAGGCATGCAAATTGGCAGTAAGTGGTAACTGCTAACTGAACTGGGAAACAGCCTTTTGAGAAGGTGATGCAGAGGATGTGTCTCAGTGACAGGGCACCTGTATATCATCCCGAGGCCATCCCCATGCCACAAAGAGCAACACAACACAACAGTAAGGCATAACCAGTGTGTCCTATCACCAATGTAATGCAACGTGTGAAGCACACAGCTTCCCTTATGATGCATGCTAGCCAATTCTAGGAAGCTCAGAGCTAACCTGGTTTTCAGCAGTTTTAACTGACCAGAGAAACCAATTTGATTCAGACTCCTCCCAACTTATGACCATCCCATGCTGTCGTCTGCCCCAAGCCACATTCATTTTCTTTAAACAAACAAACAAACAAAAACACCAGATAGACGTGGTGGCACATGCTTGTAATTTTAGCACTCAGGAGGCTGAAACAGGAGGATTTCCAGGAGTTCAAAATCAGCCTGGGCTACAGTCTGAGTTCAAGGCCAGTATGGGCTACAGAGTGAGAGCCTGTCTCAAAACAGACAGAGGTTAAGGGGATATGACAAGTAAATGTGGATCCCAGGGTATACCCTAGAATAAGAGGCACATTGATGACACAGTTGGACACTGGAAAAGCAGCGGATGTCAGTTTAATAACTGAGCTGTGATTATGTACTGTGTATTTGTGAACCTAAGTGAAAGATCTATGAAAACCCTTTATAATGACAAACCTCTCAAAGAAGTAACTTTTAAATAATTATATGTGTGTGTTTGTGTCTGCAGGTAGGTGTGTTGCTATGTGTATGTGTACCCAAGAAGACCAGAGGCATCGAACCCTTGGGTCTGGAGTTACAGGCAACTGTGAACCGCCTGATGTGGGTGCTGGGAACTGAACTTGGGTCCTCTGCATGAGTAGTATGAACTCCTAACAACTGAGTCATCCCAGCTCTAACGGTGGAACATTTTAATGAAAGTTTAAAAGCTGATTTCAAACTATAATTGAGCTTTTTATTTATTTTTTTTTTTGTTTTTTTTTTTTGGTTTTTCGAGACAGGGTTTCTCTGTGTAGCTTTGCGCCTTTTCTGGAACTCACTTGGTAGTCCAGGCTGGCCTCGAACTCACAGAGATCCGCCTGGCTCTGCCTCCCGAGTGCTGGGATTAAAGGCGTGCGCCACCACCGCCCGGCGAGCTTTTTATTTTATAAGATAATTATATCTAAATCTGAATAGATATGAAAATTATAAATTATTTCAAACTAGAAAATTTTCATGAAAATTTAAAAGCTTCTTAATTTTTAAAATTTTTAGTGTGTGTGCACACGCACATTTGTGCACACAACTGGCCTCTGATTGACTGGAACTAGATTCACAGGGATTTGCAAACCACCCAATGTGGGTACTGAGATCCAAACTTTGGTCCTGCGACAAATCAGTAAGTGCTCTTAACCTCTGAGGCATGTCTCAAGCCACAAGCTTTTAATTTTAAGATAAAATATTTCCCTACGTTCTTTCCTAATAACTTAAAAAAAATTAAATACTAAATCGTGTTGGAATTTATTTTTGTATTAATGGTGGTTTTTTTTCCTTAAACAGTTTTCCAAAAAATATTTATTTAAAATATTTCTCTTTCTCCATTATTTTGAAAGGATTCATGTTCAATCAGGAATTTAGTATAGTGTGACCTTCTAGCTAAACATCTGTGTCTACAAGTACATGCGCGCGCACACACACACAAGCCCTGTTTCCAAGCCCTGTCACTGCACTGGTATAGGTGTCTTTGTTACCACAGGACTACTTAAATTTGTTTTTAAAGTTTTGATGACTGGAAAAGCAATCAACTCTTTAATCTTCTAAAAAATACTTGGAAAGGAAATCTAAAAACATGATGCCAAGTTTCCCAAATCTGCTCCCTCTTGCATGATTTTTTTTTTTTTTTTTGATGGATTCCAGGTTTATATAATGACTACTGGTAAAAGCGCCTCCTGAAATACTGATTCGGGTTCTGCTTCTGGTAACGGGATTTGTTCCCAGTAATGGCAGGAAGCGTATGTGAGATTTGCTTTCCCACACATAACAATTATAAACTCTGAAAAATACACAAAAAAAGATATTTAAAATATTTTTGCAGGCTTGGAAACTGAAGGTGGAGTAGGCAGAAGCTGGAGAAGAGTTCAATTGAAAGCAGGAAATGGCTCATGAATCAACTTTAAATCTGTGTCGATGTGCCTGAAAGCATGCCCCCTCTTTACAGGGTGCACAGAACACCATCAGTAAGCCACAGACTCACTGGGTTAAAGGTCAGAGGCAGAGCTGGAGTCAGCGACGTGGATGTGAGGACATTTCCACAGAGGAGAACAACACCGATGGCAACACCAAAGCTACGTCCAAACAACGCTGGAAGTCTTGCTGAGCCATCAGCACGTGACTAGGGAAGGGTCCGAGAGGCAGCAGGAGGACAGAGAGATGCAGAGGCAACGTCCTACACCAGTACGAGTCCGGAGCCCGAGTCTAAGCAAATGAACAGCTTCCCAGAACAGAGCTTGGCCCACTTCAGAGAAGGATGACAGAATCCAGAGTCTCTACAGATACATCAGTATCTAGCATACAATTTAAAAATCATTACACAGGAAAACATGACATACAGTTAACAGAAAAAGCGATGAAAAGAAACTGACTCCAAGATGACCCACATGTCGGGTCTAATCTAAACAAGAAAGTGGGTGTGGGCATGTATGGAACTAGTGGACATAGGCAGGCTGACTAGTGCGCAGTTAGAGGCTCAGAGGAAATAGGTGGGAAATGTGCAGGAAAAAGCCTAGAAGAAATAATGGCCATACAAGCCTAAAACCACACTCCAACTGCTGAAATGCACAGATGCAGCACATTCTTCAGGGGACCAGGAGGAAATGACGCATTGACAGGTGGACAATCACACAGGCAGCGGAGGTCTGAACGACACAAGCACTGATGCAACAGAGCGGTGGTCTTAAGGGACTGAGAAAACAAACACCCCAACAACCCAGAATACTACAGTCAGCAAGAGCGTCCTGGAAGGAAGGACAAGTCCAAATAAGCTGATTTTCAAATATGTGAAAACAAGAAAAGTGTTGAAAGTTGACACTACGAGAAATGCTAAAGAAGTTCATCCGCGTAACAGTGAACAGAAACGATGCCAAATACAGTGGTGGGCAGAGCAGAGTAAGGCAAAGGACTTGAAAACACAAAGTTGAGGCTGAATTATGGGTTCAATAACACACATACAGAACACATTTAAGAACAGTTAAAGGCTGTCCTATAAATGGTCGACTTGATACAGCCTAGAGTCACCTGAGAAGGGACCTCAACTATCAAAATTAGACGGGCCTGCCGGCACTACTAACTGCTTTAGGAAGATGCAGCCCACAGTGGGCAGCAGCATTCCCGGGGAAGGTCCCGGGCAGTGTAAGAGAGCTGAGCAGGAGCCTATGCTCAAGCCAGCAAGCAGTGCTTCTTCATGTTACCCACTTCAAGTTCCTGCTTGACTTCCCTCAGCCATGTGTGTGTGGCCTGAGGTGTGAGCCACATTAGCCCTCTCTTCCCCTAAGTTCCTTTTGGTCTGAGTGTCTTACCACAGCAACAGAAAGGAAGCCTGGAATGAAGACCAGCTGGTGGCGAAGGACAGTTTTTACAAAGCTCACATTTTACACGTAACAGTACCTATTAACACTAAGCTAACTTTAATAAGCCAAGAAGGACAGTATAATCACTAGAGTAACCATAAAGAATAGAGACACCAAATTATAGTAGTGCTTTTTTTTTTTTAAGTTTTTATTAAAGCAAGCCAAATGTAGTGGCATGTGCTTGTAATCCCAGCACTCCAAAGTCTGAGGCAGGAGAATCACAGGTGTAAAGACAGGCTGTTCTCTATAGTGAGTCTCAAGAAAACATTACATAAATAACAAGATAAATACAAAATATACAAATAATTCTTAGGGGATATAAATAAAGGTTACCTGACCAGAAACTATGTCTGCCACTTTCTCTTCCAGTATTTGCTCTTGGAAATGTATGTAAATTTAAACCTCGCTGTCCTACAGCACCAAGTACACTCGGGCAAGAGTCAAGTGCACTGACCAGCACCAGATGAAGAAATCTAGCCATTCTGAGTTCATAAGAATTCTGAAGAACAGAACTGGACAGAACAAGAATCACTTTAAAAGCCAGTCTTAGTGGTGTGATAACACTTGACTGTAAGACCAACACTTGGAAAGCTGAGGCAGGAAAATCAAGAGTTCCAAGCTAGCCTGGGCTACAGAATGAGAGCCTGTCTTCAAAAATATTTAATTTAATTTCAGCTTAAGTCACAGTTTACTTTGTAACTTACTTATATATTTGGTAACTTGTTCTAATTTTGAGTCCACCTTTGATGAAGTTGATCATATTTTCATCCTGAAAATAACACAATTAAATAATTAGAGCACTTAGGGGGAAAGTCAAACAGTATGTATTTGCATAATGAGAAAAAAGTGTGTGTGTGTGTGTGTGTGTGTGAGTGTGTGTGTGTGTGTGTGTGTGTGTGTGTGTGTGTGTGTGTGTTGCTGGGAATGGAACCGAGAGCATGCTGGGTAAACAACATCCTACCATAAGCAGCATCCGTAGTCCCAAATGTATGATGAGTTCATAATTTTGAAATCGACACGTGATTCTTGCTTTACATTTGAAATGTGTCGTTTTGTAATTTTCTTAACCAGTTTGAAGGTAGTGAAAATACATTTTCAAAAAGCTTATATTACCTTGTATTTCTAAGGCAGTAATCCTCACAAATTTGGGGGCAAATGTAGTTCAAAGCTTGCTGTGGGATGGTCTGTATGTCAAATGTGTTGCTGATTGGTCAATGAATAAATCACTGATTGGCAGTGGCCAGGCAGGAAGTATAGGCGGGACTAACAGAGAGGAAAAGTGAGAGAACAGGAAGCTGGGAGGAGAGACACTGCCAGCCGCCATGATGACAAGCCGCATGTGAAGTACCGGTAAGCCACAAGCCACATGGCAAGGTATAGATTAATAGAAATGGATTAATTTAAGCTGTAAGAACAGTTAGCAAGAAGCCTGCCACGGCCATACAGTTTGAAACCAATATAAGTCTCTGTGTTTACTTGATCGGGTTTGAGCAGCTTGGGACTGGCGGGTGAGAGAGATTTGTCCTGACTGTGGGCCAGGCAGGAAAACTTTAGCTACAAAAGCTACTTCAATAAACATCAGCATCTACTGAGAAACACTTTTCCAGGGCCAGTGGTACCCAGAACACTTGGCTACACAAATCTGCTTAAAGACCAAACTTCCCCATCCACCATACGCAGTAAATGGGATAATGGTTCTTTCAGCAATCCTTGGACAAGCAGTCTACTTAACATTGTAAATTTTATTCCTGTAAATTTGCAGACCAAAAACCACTGATCTAAATTCTGAAGTGGTTGTCACTGATATGCAATTTGGGGGTAGGGGACCGTTTTACTTCTCTTTGCCTGAGGGTTATCAATCATGAAATTGAGGCAGTTGGCCTAGATGAATGGCACTTTCAGGACCAGCATTCTGAAAGAGTCTCCTAATAAATTATACCAAATAACCCAGTGAAGGAGTATGCTAATGGTGCTGACAGAGACAAGCCTACGCTCCACATTTCTAAGGAGAATTGCTAGTCTACAGATCTCAGAAAGGTGGCACTTGAGATACTTCTAAAGTGAAAGAGAAACTGGTTTTGGTTTACTATTCTCATTAGCTATTCAAATGTTTAACATTCCTATTATTATACAAATCAGTAAATACAAAATTCACTATGCAACTTAAATGTTTATATTCTTATTTTAAGAACTCTTTATTTACACAAGTTCAAATAAAAGACAGAAACAAATTTCCTGGGTTAAATCAAAGTCTGATTCAAATAAAGGTATTGCACTCCATGATTCAGCAAACACGAAACAATGTTTATTTTGTGCTGGGCACCTACATGCAAAGGCAACATGATGTGCTAAGTGAGTAGGCATGCAGTGATGGAGACAAGCACAGATGTCAGGAGAACATAAAGTGGGGCATGATGTCAGCCAGCAAACCCTCCTGGAAGCCGCTGGTGCTTTTAGCACCAGGAAAGGACAAGGGAAGACCAGGTGAAGGAAGGAAAAGCAGTCCTAGTTTGCATGCAAAGGACACCTCACTAGACACGTCAGGAAGCAGTCAAGACCACACTAGCATCTGCATGTACGGAGATAAGAGCTAACACGCTGGCATCTGAGTGTACGGAGATGAGAGCTAACATGTAGCCATCTGCATGTATGGAGATGACAGCTAACACACTGGCATCTGCATGTATGGAGATGAGAGCTAACACGCTGGCATCTGCATGTATGGAGATGAGAGCTAACACGCTGGCATCTGCACGTATGGTGATGAGAGCTAACACGCTGGCATCTGCATGTACGGAGATGAGAGCTAACACGCAGGCATCTGCATGTACGGAGATGAGAGCTAACACGCTGGCATCTGCATGTATGGAGATGAGGGCTAACACGCAGGCATCTGCAAGTATGGAGATGAGAGCTAACATGTAGCCATCTGCATGTATGGAGATGAGAGCTAACACACTGGCATCTGCATGTACAGAGATGAGAGCTAACACGCTGGCATCTGCATGTACAGAGATGAGAGCTAACACGCTGGCATCTGCATGTATGGAGATGAGGGCTAACACGCTGGCATCTGCATGTACGGAGATGAGAGCTAACACGCAGGCATCTGCAAGTATGGAGATGAGAGCTAACACGCTGGCATCTGCAAGTATGGAGATGAGAGCTAACACGCAGGCATCTGCATGTATGAAGACGAGAGCTAACACGCTGGCATCTGCATGTATGGAGATGAGAGCTAACACGCTGGCATCTGCATGTACAGAGATGAGAGCTAACACGCTGGCATCTGCATGCACAGAGATGAGCGCTAACTGAGCAGCTACTGCAGAGAAGGAAGGAACCAAGGAGGAGGGAAACTACCCTGACCCCTGTGATAGGATCAGGACACCTGAGGACCCATAAGAGGAGAAGCAGGGGATTTCGGGGGAGGCACCAGTGCAGCCTGGAAACCCCTTCCCAATTTGTGATATTCTGATACAGAACACTGACAGTCTATGAAAGCCATGAGATGCAGAAGCAAAAAATAACAAGGCGAGAGTCTCAGTTCTGATAGAGTTCGCAATCAGAGAATGCAGGGTGAACTAAAAGTAAAAAGAAACCGGGGACAGTCACTCAACTTCTGTATAATATAATCAATTCGGCAAAAGAATGAGCACCTCTGCAGGAGCATGGAGGAAGTGGTGGAGCTGATGAGCACCTCTGCAGGGGCAATATGGTGGGAACACAAAGGAAGTGGTGGAGCTGATGAGCACCTCTGCAGGGGCAATATGGTGGGAGCACAGAGGAAGTGGTGGAGCTGATGAGCACCTCTGCAGGGGCAATATGGTGCAAGCACAGAGGAAGGGGTAGAGCTGATGAGCACCTCTGCAGGGGCAATATGGTGGGAGCACAGAGGAAGGGGTGGGGCTGATGAGCACCTCTGCAGGGGCAATGGTGGTGGGAACACGGAGGAAGGGGTGGAGCTGATGAGCACCTCTGCAGGGGCAATGGTGGTGGGAACACGGAGGAAGGGGTGGGGCTGATGAGCACCTCTGCAGGGGCAATGGTGGTGGGAACACGGAGGAAGGGGTGGGGCTGATGAGCACCTCTGCAGGGGCAATGGTGGTGGGAACACGGAGGAAGGGGTGGAGCTGATGAGCACCTCTGCAGGGGCAATGGAGGAAGGGGTGGAGCTGCAGATCCTTAACCAGCCAAAGCATGGATACAGAAGTGACCACAGGCAGACATGAGGAAGATGGAGAGGTCATGGACATCTCCAAGATGTTGGATTTCAAGTGCTTGGGTACAAAACAAACTTGTAAACCTAATATTTGATTTGGAAAACACATCAGGAAGAATTCTGGGGCCTCTGTGACTCACATCATGATGTCAAAGAGGTGGTGAGACGGTTGTTGTCAACCCACTTGGGTTATGCACAGGGCTTCAGAGAACAGGATAAAAGGGCTACACTGATTCAATTTTACTGAACAGAATCTAAGCTAACATGTCAACCTGCAGGGGAAAAAAATATCGCCAACACCCTCAAGGGAAAAAAAAGAGAAATAATTTTCAAAATAATTTAGAAGTTTGAGATTGTTTTCTGCTTCCTTATCATATCTACTCCTGTCCCTCATGACAGTCATCATTGGGCCATAATGTAGAATTCACATTTCTAGAAGCATTCGGACACACACAAACATAGGTGACAGATGAAATCAAAGTCCTTCTAAGAAAAGGATTCCTTTACTTTTGAAAACTGTTCTGGTCAGGCGTTGTAGCCAGCACTTGGGAGGCAAAGGCAGGTGGATCTCCATGAGTTCAAGGACAGCCTGGTCTTACAGAGAGTTCCAGGCCAGGCACAGCTACATAGTGAGACCTGATCTTGAGACAAAAGCAAGGAAAGGGGGTGAGGATAGACAGGATGAGGTGGGTAAAAATGTGAGGGCCATGAAGAGTGGCTACCGATGCACAAGCAGTTGACGGAGCTTCACAGAAGCAGGTGACACAATGAGTGATGTGCAGAGATCCCAGCACTAGGAGGCATAGGCAGGCGGAGCTCTGTGAGTTCGAGGCCAGCCTGGTCTACAGAGAGAGATCCAGGACAGCCAGGGCTACACAGAGAAACCCTGTTTGAGAGCGGGGGAAGGTACTTCTCAGTCTGGGCAACTCTTACCATGCATGTGCAAACTAGAGTCCTCTTTGTTTTCACACTAAGAAGCTTCCTAGAAGTCATCTGAAACAGCCACTAAGTACATCTGAGTGGGAATACAGCTCTCTGGAGCCTTCTTTCAGGCAAACTTTATCAGGATAACAAATATCCTTCATTACCACTCTCAGTCTCAGCACTAACACACGGAGAGCAACATTTACTATTTTCTGTACAATGTTGGCAGGCTTCCCACCCAACACCAATATTCAGCCAAATGTTCATTACCTGCACAAACGTGAGTGCTGCTTTCTGTAGGAGACACTCGGCATAACAGATTTCTGCATGCATTTCCTCTATTAAAAACAAACACAATTATATTAAGACACAGTATTGCTCTAGATATTCTGAAAAGGCTGGAAGATAAATGAGCCCAAGAGAGACACAAAAGCCTAGATTGCTTCCGTGCTTCCAGAGAAACAGGATGAATTGTTCTTAGTCCTGGCACAGGATTTTCCTGGAACATGTGAACTGTTCAGGGAAGTCATCTCCATGCAACACTGACAGCAGAGTGAGGCTTGGACAGAAGAGGAAACAGACTGTTGGTTTGAGACAGGGCCTCACTCTGGAGTCCAAGCAGGTCTGGAACTCACTAAGTAGTCCAGACTGTCCTATATTCATAGCAATCTTCCTGCCTCAACAACTTGTTTGGTACTGTGATTATAAGCATGAATCACCATGCCTGATTGAGGAAAACAAAATTCAAAAGCCCTTTGAAAGAAAAAAACTACCTAAAAATAATAGTAGCATAAACATTTAGCAGTTTGTACAGATTGAAAAGGTTCATTAAACTTATGAATTCTAGCTTCTACACTATGATCATCACGGTCATCATGACGATGATCAGATACACAGTCAACCTGTGAACAGTCACACTCTGTGGAGTTGTAAAAACCTACTGTCCTGTGTGCACAAGTCAGGACTCCTTGGAGACAGCAGCAAAGTAGCTGTGCTTTCCAATTTATGGCACTTTCATACCTGAGCACAAGCACAGGGTGCTCACAAAAAAGTGCTATCAAAGCCATGCCCAGCCCAGGGATGTGTACACCACCCCAAACGTGCCCTGACTTCCTAGACACCCATGATACTTGCAGAGATCAGGGAAAGAAATCTTATGTTTCTACATAAACAAAATCATCAGATTCCTTTCTCCACGGGAGGCAAATTAGTATGTTATTTAAGTAAATGAGCTTGGAGGAAAGACTCTACCACGTGCTAGTTAGTACAGAGCTCCGCACAGGCCGCCCTTCCTGTCTGCTGGCCCACTAGTAACTCTACTTTGCTACTGAGGGTTAAATGAGTATTGTCTCTAGCGCTTACCAGACACAGCAAGCCCTGATGAATGCTGGCAACTGTCGCCATTACTGCTCTTGACCCATGTCTGTGCTGCCTGGTAAAGGTTCAGAAGGCAGAGGGCCTTTTCAAGTCACGTGATGGGACAACTCGGGGCAATCTGTGTCACTGGAAACAGCACTGACCAAACTAGATAAGAATGTAGGTTTTCCTTCCTTTACACACACATGACCCGTGGGCTCTCTCATAAAGACTCAGCATAAAATGTTCAATTTATGAGGAAGTAATATGCAGCTAAGCTCCCCAGCAACAGACAGGCAAGCAGGGTAGGAGCCACAGAAGACAACACCCAGACATCGTGCTGTCTGCACACATCTAGCATGGCCACCAGTCGAGATGGCAGTCTCCACGACACCTTCCCTCTAAGTGTGCCTCAGTTTTCTCAGTACCTTCAGGGGAACTCAAGCCGGCAGCTTATGTTCAGTCACCCGACTAGCCTCCTCCTGGGTAACTGTAACCAAGTGACAACTGTCTGGGGTTACTGATTCCAGACGGCACCTTGGGAAGAGATACTGGCCAGGGACAGGTGGGGAAGGGGAGAAGTCAGCACTGCAGAGGACCAGATAAAAGGCAAGAAAGCACAGGCGCCACTCCTGGAAGGGCGACAACGGGGCTGCTTTGGCGGGAGCTTGAGGTGCATGAGGGAGGAGAGGGCAGCAGGATGGAGAGGCCAGTCAAGCTGATGCAGGGCAGTGCCCAGTGTCACAGCTGGCCTGATTCGGCAGGCCAAACAGCAGGTCCTCACCAAGACCTGAGCAGAAGGGTGACTAGACCAAAGACAGACTTGAGAGTAATCTAAAGGATACATCACAACGCAGGAGGGCACGAACTCCATAAGTATTCTTCCTGCCAAATCTCTTTGCACATCCTAAGCATCCACTTCACTGCCTCCCTGAAGTCTATCTGAAGCCATTCCACACCAGCCGCCACGGAAGAGAGGAACAGTGTGTGTGTTCCACAGCAAGCGCATCAACAACTCCGTCCTGAACCATTATACCCATTCCTGAACACAACTAGGAACCTGAGACTGTAAACCAAAACCACCAGCAGGACAACAAATCCTACGCAGGAGCTACAGTGTTCTGCCATGCCCACTGTCTGGTTAGCGTCAACCTGATGTGAGCTAGACTTCTCCAGGAAGAGGAACCTCAAACTGAGAAAATACCCCTTCAGAGTGGCCTGTAGGCAAGTCTGTAGAGCATTTTCTTGATTGATGACTGATGTGGGAGGGCCCGGCAGGTGGTCCTGGGTGGTATAAGAAAGCAGGCTGAGCAAGCCATGGGGAACAAGCCAGTACCCATGGTCCAGGGAACAAGCCAGAAGCCAGTTCCCTCCATGTCTCTGTTTCAGTTCCTGTCTCCAGGTTCCCACCTTGGCTTCCCTTGAAAATGAACTGTGACCTACGAGCCAAATAAGCCCCATCCTCCCCAAGTTGCTTCAGGCCATGGTGCTCTATCACAGCAACAGAAAGCAAACTAAACACCCCTCAAACATAAAGTCTGTTTGGACTGCAGGAACAGACAAAGGCCCCAGGAATCACATGCAGCTTAAACTACAGAGCTTTATTCCTTCACCATGACTGGCTTACACTGTATAACTTCTTCACCAAAATGCCTCAACTGAAAATTCCTTAGTCCATGAAAGAAATTCATGGTACACTCAAAAGCTAGCTAAGCACAGCCTTTCTGTAGCAGTCTAAAGATGCTCAGAATAAGCTACAGACATGGGCTAGTTAATTTTTCATTAATTAATACCAAGTCCAGATTTCCTTAAATGCAAGGAGGAAAAATCAGAACATAATCATCAATTTTCCAGATGTGACAATTCAGTGTTTCCATCATCCATGTAAGATGTTTTCTATTCCCCTACAGGAGAACATGGGGACAGTGGGCAGAGTTGTGGCTAGGGGAAGCAGACCAGTTTAAATGCTGCTTCCAGAGTTGGTCACCTTGGCCACTTACTCTCTGTGAACATCAGCTAAACGTATTAGGACGGTTAATGTTAAGGAAAGCACCAAAATAGAGCATTATGGCATTTTAAAATTATTTACCCTCACACCAAAAATACCATGTCATTCCTCCCAAAACTAAGGTTTAAAACTCTCCAATATCACCTTCATACCACAAAGAAAAAGGGGAAAGAGGAGTCAGTGCCCCAGGGGAGAGGCCATTTGGACGGTGCTAGGAGGGAGAATACAGAGACCAGAGTCACTGGGGCCAATTTCATCTCTGTGGATCATCTCTGGAAGACTTTAGGCCTACCAGTACCAGCTTTTTTCTTATAGATGCTTCCAGGTCAGTTTCTAATGAAAAAGAAGACGGTTTCAACTGCCTGCAGTAACCAACAAAATACCATCTGTTTCTGTCATGGCTGAGTCAACACCACCCTCCTTCCCAGCAAGTCCTAAAGACGTGATGTGTCACAATCCTCAACTGTAATCAACACTCAAAACTCACATCATTCAAATGTGCACAACTTCTCCAACGTCCCAAACAAGCTGATAACACGCCTACAAAGCAAACAAAGCCCCGTGACAAATCACACTCGAGGTGTGCAGCATATACTTGATGATTCTGACAGCCATGCCCAGAGCTGTGTCTGCTTTGCCCAGCCATGGCTGCTTCCAGTGTTTCGTACCACCTCTTCTATGGGACAAGTTTGAAAAGGACGCTATGGACACAAATTCTCCTGAGACAGCACTGCTTCTACAGGATTACCTGGATGCTCCTTGGTGGTGGGCCACCCTTCTTTATAGGGCTGGTTAGACCAGTTCTCTCCTCATTTTACTGGGAATATGAAACAACTGACGTTGGTCTTCCCATCTATCTGATCGAGTGCTACAGATATTCCTGGACTCCAACATCTTCATCTGCTATGTAGACGAGCATTATCATTTTTAAAGTTATAAAAACTACCCAGATACAGTGGTGCACGCCTTTAATCTCAGCACTTGGGGGGCAGAGGTAGGCAGATCTCTGTGAGTTCAAGGTCAGCCTGATCTACATAGTGAGCTCAGGCCAGTGAGGACTACATAGGAAGACCCCTTTTCAAAACCAAAAAAAAAGTACTTTCACCTTGGAAAAATATTAATAGTCTGTATAAAATGAAACTCTGCAAGGTGGTTGAATACACAGGTTTTTTGGGAGAAAAAAAAACAGTATCTATAAATACTATAAAATTTCAAGCCCTGAGTTGCAGTAATTCTACTTTTAGGAAACTGACTCATGAAATACTTGAAAGATACAAAAAGACATGTACAAGGGATTTTAGGGCAGCCATATTTGCTAAAAAATGAAAAAATTAAAGCTGTCCTTCAGTGAGGAAAAAAAAAATCAACATACTGTGGTACCATCCTGTTCATGACTATATAGCTCCAAACAGATAAAATGCATTAACACACCCTGATGTGGGTCCAGACCACATCGGAGCACATGTGGTCCACTGCTTAAAAAAAACAGCAAATGCGTGCACAGCTGAGGGGCGTCGGGTGTGAGTGGCACGGGGAGGGGAAAAGGAGGGTCCCTCATTTCCGGCTTCACTGATGAAGGACAGGGAAAGGAAAGGGGAGCGAGCGTTCACCACACTTACCTTCACTCAGCTGTTCCAGCGACCCCCGAGACAGGAGACTTGAGAAGGACTCCACAACTGTGCATTTTTTCCTGTATCTGCAGTGGAGAAAGGCAAGGGAAGAGAAGAGGAGGGGGAGACAGCATCAGACTGGGTCACCGTCACTCACTGTCAGTTACGCTGGACCGCTCAGGCCCGGTCTGCAAGGCCAAGCCCTCCTCCCCCGGTGCCGCACACACAGTGCCCTGTCCTACACTGCCAACCATGAGCACTCAACCCACCGAGCACGGTGCAGAGGAGCCCACACACCCCACCGAGTACAAACCTGGCATAAACCTCCCCTCATTTTCTTGGCTAAAAGCAGAGTATCTGTGGTAAGCGTCTCCACGGGTGAAAAATGGACTTAAAGTGCACTATTAGGAAAATGCTCTTCATTTGAGGGTTTACAACATAATTACATGGAGATTCATCTTACCCACATTAAAATTCACCAGTACAAATAACTGCTTTCACTAAGGCCTTCTACACGAAGATTAGAGCTTAAAACTGACACTCTATCTCATTTTGATCAACCAAGAATGTCTAAACGCATCCTTAGGCAAATAAAAATTCCCTTCTGAATGTGTGGTTTCTCCCATATAGAGCAAGCACAGTCCCAGCTTGACCTGACATGGTACTCGGTTCTTAACTCATTTACCTCAAAAGACCTAGAAAGATGCTCTCTGCTAACCCTTCTGAAGCCTCCCCCAGACTCTCACTATAGTTCAGACCCCATGTATCCAGCAGTGAGTACAGGTGCTACAGCGGGAGCCATATTATACTTCCCCACAGGACTTCTTGAATTCCATTGGATGGAACTGAATTGCCCAAGAAACTCTGAAGCGGAAGGCCTGTTGCATAATTCTGGCCCGCCTCAAACACAGAGACCTTAGTTCAGCAAACTGCATCCAGCTGGCATTGTGACAAGAAGGTTCAGGGTCTCAACTCAAATAGTAACTACTCAGTCATACTTCTGGCAGGTTTGCAAGGCGTCCTTCATGGCAGAAATGCCATTCTGGATGTCCTGTTGCTCAAAGGTCATGATAGCCTGCAACACCACAATGGTACTGTATCCCAAGGCATGGTACATGCTCTCCTTGGCCCTAGAGAAAATACAGACAGTACATCTCAATACAACGAAAGGAAAAGAGACAGAAGTCCAGGCTTTTTCTGATACCAGCAATACCAAACCCTCACCATGCACGCTGACTTCTGTTCCATAGTTACTGAAATGATACAAGCTCTGAGAGGCCTGCTTTAAAACTCAAGTACGATTTAAACCCACATAACAGAATAAAGTGCTGCCGACAACATGCCTTTCCCTGATTCAGCACAAGGGGGCAGCCTGTAGATTCGGATCTAGAAAAAGTCTAAAAGCAAACCCAGGTTTCCAGTTGAATAACGGCAGCGAGCCATCTTAAAATATGAAATGAGTGAGGGTTGATGGCACACAATTTTGATTCTAGCATCCTGAGATGTGGAGTTCAGAAATTCAAGGTCCTTCTGAGTTTGAGGCCACCCTGAGCTACACAAACCTCTCACAAAAAAGAAAAACACCAAAAAGGAAATCTGAAATTTTTGCATGATACAGGGAAAAAGACACCTTTAAAACTGCTATCTCCACACTGACCCCACCCCTTGTTCGCTGCTGTAGGGGTGAACTACCCGGGGCAATGCTAGACTGTAGTAGATGTGAAACTACTAATTTATTTTCATCCTATTCTATAGAGAGGGGAGAGCTGGTAGACTGACCAACCCCACAACTACTCAGGCCCAGAACCAGGGTTATGTGTTACACACCCCCCCCCAACATCCACCCCATCTTTGATCTGCTGGAGCCCAGGTGGGGGCAGGGGGTGGGGTCGGTCCTTCAGACACAGGGCAGCAATGGGATGTCCAGAAAGAGTCCCATTGAGGGCCCAGTGTCCATAGTGTTGCAGAGACCAGGGACCTCGAACCAAACCAAAGATTCTTTGTGATGAATACCTGCATGTAAAGATGTATGGACAAAGGGGTTTACTGCGTGACTCACTGTGTCACACTGCAGCTGCCATGACGAGATTTTCCCTTCCTCCCTTTTTTTTTTTCTTTTTGATCTTAAATTTTATTTTGTTTTATTTTGTGGAGGGGGTTGCAGGGGTAGAGGGTGGATGTGAGGGACCGGGAGATGGGTGGGATCAGGATGCATGATGTGAAAGACACAAAAAATAAGTTTAAAAAAAAAAAAAGGCCTATTATGTCCTCTCCAGCCAAAGCCAAGAGGAAGCAAGAGTTTTGTAATCAATTAGGTCATGAGAAAGTCTAACACCTGGAACTCCTGATGAAATCCTGAGAGCTGAGGCTATCAAGCTTGGGACAACAGCCTGAGGCTGCTAGTTCCCCTCAAAGCCTCTTATGCTGATTATTTATGTTTGAAATATCAATGTGGGGCTTGTGAGGATGACTCAACGTCCCTAGGCTCCATGAAGCACATGCAACACTATTCCTTTCACCTTGGACAGAGCTTAAAGAGGCTTTGTCCTGAACGAGGGCGCTCCCCACTCACCCCAGAGTTATCAATGGCAGTTCAAACCTCCCATGCAAGTGGGGTGAAGGAGGAATTTTAACAGTGATAAACAGCATAAAGATAAGAGACTGTGAAACTACTAACTTATTTTCATCCTGTTCTATAAGCACATGGTAGAGAGGAAAAGGAGATCTGCCTGCAAAAAAGAATAAAGGAGACGGGACACGACGCTGAGTCAGAAGGCAAGCGAGTTAGCAAGTGGGAAAGCCCAGCAGACAGGCGGCGAAGGGAAGCCATGGTCCAGAAGATGGCAGACCAAGTCTGAGGGATACCAGTGACCACCTGACGTGAGGGATCGGATTCCCCGACTTCAGCATCAAGTCTCCCTCTAGCAAATTACAAAGATCTCAGCTTCTCTGGAGCTGAGTCTGGAGACAGGATGGGTTCTGCAAAGTCCGTCCCATGCAGAACTGAGGCCAGTGAGCAGGTGGGGTAGCGCGATGCCACGCCTGCAAAACTCAGTGCTGGTAACTTCCATGACAGAAGCAGGGAGCCCCAACCACATTCCTAATATCTTAAGCTTGATTTTAGCACTGAGATTCGGCTTCTCTAGCTACTCCCCTGCCATTTCTAAGGAAACGCTGGTCAGCGATGGAGGGAGGGCTCATGTGAAGACTTCACTTAGGAGAACAGACATGGGCCTCCAAAATCAGACACAACACCTGAGCAAGTGTGGAGACTGATAATAAGCATCAGAAATTTCCTATTGGCTACATATGAAAAGCCATCTCTTTAAAGCTGATTGATGGGGACGGGTCTCAATCCAACTAGATTATAAATACTGAGGCAGATACAGATCCATTAACACAGAAACATGACATCAGAAAAACACATGAAAAATATCTAATGAGAAACAGAGCTACTTACCATGGACGAAGCAACTCTAAGGCATCTTTAAATTTGTTACTTAGAAATAAGTTCAATGCCTCCGCACACTCTTCCAGACCACTCTTGAGATCCACCTTGGCTGATGAACTGAAGAAAAAACAAAAAGACATAGGTTTTTGTAACTTTTACTACTAGCACCTTATTCCAAGGCATAGGGGGAAGGGGACTATGGTGACCAGCTGCAATTCCCCCTTGGCCACTTCCCAATGCTGGGGCAAAGGAGCTTCCCTGCCCTCTGCAAGGCCGATGCTCTGAGTCTGTAAGAAACAGGTGGGCAGGAGAGAAGGCGCACACACGTAGTGCACACACAGGTGCGAGGCAAGGATGAACAGTGAGTACCCAATTGCCCACATGAAGACTTAAAAACACATAAACCTATGCAGAGGAGAGGAAGTGGAGCCATAGAGACAACAAGTGATTTCATTTATTTTGGGTTTGCTCTTTGAAACAGAGTTTGACACTAGAGCCCACGCTGGCCTGGACCTCACAGCAATTCCCCTGCCCCATCCTCCCAAGTGCTATCATTATAGGCATAAAACGCTGCACCCCATTTCCAGGCAAAGCCCTCTGACTGCAGGCAGTGTCCACTCTGGTGGTCTAGCCTCTGGCTCAGCTTCGAGGATGTGCATAGCACTGCATTCTCCCTGGAACCATTTCCCGAGTCGGCCAGGGGCGTGCAAAGATTCCTCCCTGTTCTTCTAGAGGGAAACAGAAGAGAGAAAAACGGCACCAAAGTACGGAGCTTTGACGCGCTGACTCTCAAAGCAGGAGCTTCAACACCCGTCTCTCTGACCTCCCGTTTCCTTCTGACTTCCTTTCTCTCAATCTCTTTTGTAACTGTAGCCCTGACCTTCAACTCACTGTGTCACCCAGACCAGCCTAGAACTGATGGTAACCCACCTGCCTTGGCTTCCTAAGCACTAGGACTTTTAAGCATGTGCTACCACATTCTGGGGCATCATTTTCCAAGTCCCAATGCCAACTCTGTCTATAACATAGCTGGGCCTCAACTTTCTTATCTGTAAAATGGGAGCACGGCCATCTATTTCCTGGGCTGTTGTGAAGCAGAGATCAACCGACAAACACTGCCCACAGTAGGCACTAATTAGACGAGGGCTTGGGGGGGAAAGGTCACACACATGGTGGCCTGACTCTGATGAGCACCTGTGATGTAGAGATGCTCCCTAACTGTTCTACAGTGAGGTGACTCATGGGAATATCTGGGTTCGGGGGAGGGAGAATTCCATGCTGCATATGCAGCAGGCAAGACAAAAAATGAGAGCCATGACAGAAACTAGGCCAATGTCAGAAACATAGTGTCATAGGGGGTGGAATCTATTCTAAGAACAAAGGGAAACGCATAGTCTCAGAAGTCCTGTCCCCTATCGGTCAGGTAGTGCACACCTTTAGTCCCAGTACTCGGAAGGCAGAGGCCGAAAGACCCCGGTAAGTTCGAAGCCAGCCTGATCCACATACCAAGCTCCAGGCCATCAGGGCTAACCTTCTTTCCTTTCCCTGCTGCTGAGTGCTGCTCCAAGCTTCTCTCTCACTGCTCTGCATCGCCCCTCCCACCCTCAGGTCTCCCTAAGAGGGCAGCTCATTATCCACTACTAGGAAAAGAGCTGTGACCAGGATGTTCTCCACCTCCGCATCTCAGCTGCCATGTGGAGGATCCACGACACCTGTCCCAGGCCAGGGCAAACAAACAAGCCACACCTCTCCAAAGTTGTTTTGTATGAGGTCTGCCTGGAACCGAACACGGCGACTCCCAGAAGTCGGCCAGTACTGCCTACCAAGGGCTCTGGTTTCCTCCTGGAGACACGCTTCCCTCTCTGCTCCCAAGGCCATGTCACGAAGGGAGGTTATCCCTTCAGAGCTCTAAAGCTCTCCCCAAGAATACCTTCCTGATGCCAGAGGTTTTGACTTCGTGGTTTCAGTCTTAAGCAGGCATTAGACACACCTCTGAGAGCTTGTTAGTACCTACTGCTGGACCCCACACTCAGAGCTTCTCACCCAGGCCTGGCATCGGCCCAAGTGAAAGCCCAATTTTGCTTTAATTCACCCTCTCTACCACTCTCAGACTTCTCTCCCTAAAAGAGATATTCCTGACACTGCCTTCTCAGATTAAGAACAAAAATGGCTGCCCATGGCTGCCACATAAAGTTCAACAGGCCCAGGAAACATATTCCCAACCAAACCTATCCAATCAGACCAGAACAATGAGCAAGACTCTTAAAAACAACCAGGCATCTTGAAAGGTTCATCGGCATGGGGTTCCCCTCAAGCCTGGCATGACAGAATGAAAAGAATCTTGAACTAGAAGTAAAAGTCAGTGTTTCCATTCTCCAGAGTCGTTCCTCACCCCACCCCCAGCCCATCTCTGTGGCTTTCACAACCCACAACCTGTTTGAAAGAAACAGAGGCAATGGTTGCTATGGCATGCTTTGTGAGTGTTCCTGCTCTGTTGGAGTCAACAGCTGTGTATAGTCTTGCAAAAGCTCTGGATGCTCCACCCACACACTCACATTCTAGACCGGCTGGAGCCCTGCCTGTTCCTGCCATGTATCCCCAGCAAAGTGAAGACTCCTTCCTAATTGTAATTTACATGATAGGCCAATATAAGGCACAATGGTTATTTTAGTCTTACATTTTTAAAAACATACAAAATAATGTATATATCTGGAATGGCGCTAATAGTATCCCTTACATCCCAATTCCATTTCTCCCTTTAACAATCACTCAATATGCTTGATTGCAAACGCTGTATGTCTTGTAGTGAATGAGGATCCTGGCTTTGGAGGCAGAGCCTTTGGCTCCGTTCCTGACCTTACCTCAATCCTACATAGGACCATGACAAATCACTTTTCGTCCCTAATCCTCAGTTTCCTAATTCATAATAAGATGTATCTAGCAAAAGCACCCACATTATAAGCTGCACTATTAATACATGTGATGTGCTTAGTGTCTGGGCAGAAGTCCTTGGATAATGGCAGCTATTAGTACCAGTATTCTGTTAAGAACTGCTTTCAGTAATTCAGAGTCATCTGTTCACATACCCACTCAACTGGATAACACCAAACTACTTAGCACTGACTAGAGTGGGGTCAAATCAAATGGAAACATGGAAGAGAAGATGAACCAAAGTCCAGAAAACCTGAGGAGGTTGCCCACAAAAACCTTGCTGGATCCACATGTGACTTGAAGTAGAAACTAGCCATCCGGGACTTACGGACCATGGTGTCTACAGCATAGGCGGTACATGAGGATTTTTGTCTTCACGACAGTGAGCATGTATGGGAGTGAAGGAATAGGTCCAGGGTAACAGAGAAGATGGGAACACTGGAGTCTTCACTGGGCGTAGCCAGATAAAGTTCCTACTTTCCCCAGTTTCCTCCAGGTCTCCTTGACCTCAAGAACTACAATCAAAGATTTCCCATACTGTACCAACTCTACTGAAATTGAGGAGCTAAATAACCAGATCACAGGCACCCAGCACAACTCCATTTTTTCTACATGAGTCTCTACCTTCTGAAGAATTATCATTTAGACTGACTTATTTGGGACAAGAAGAGAACTGAAGGATGGACAGTCATGGTTAGGCATGCTAGCAAAGGGGGGTTTGCTCTTCCATAATAAACTGAAAAGAACTTAGCAATCTGGGGTTTCCAGTTTCTTTGGGTCACTTCCTGATAAGGGGTTCCATGTCATTCCACACATCACACGTATTTCTCTTGTCATCTGGTTTTTTTGCTCTAGATTCCTCAACCATGAACCTACCACGAACGACAAGGCACTCTTTCTTCTCCCGTATTAACATCTGGAGGAAATGAGCACTTCCTCCCCTAGGTTCCCTGGGGAGGGGCTTGGTTGTTCTGCTTTCTGCTCCATTCCCCGCCTCGGTAGAAGGAAGACCCTGAGGCAGAGGGATCACAAGTTCAAATCCAGTGGGCTAGCTGACTGGTGACTGGAAAAGGTAAAGTGGATGAATGGGTGTGAGCAGCCCACCTGTTGCAGCTGCCACTGCTGCTGATGCCGCCACCACCACCACCAACGCCACCACTGCCACCGCCACCACCATCACTGTCACTGCCACCACCACCATCACTGTCACTGCCACCACGGCCACTGCCGCCACTACCGCCACCATCACTGCCACCGCCACTGCCACTGTCACTGCCACCACCGTCACTGCCACCGCCACTGCCACTGTCACTGCCACCACCGCCACTGCCACCGCCACTGCCACTGTCACTGCCACCACCGCCACTGCCACCGTCACTGCCACCACCACCACCGCCACCGCTGTCACTGCCACCACCCTGCCTCCTCTTTTTTTGTACTAGAGATTGAGTTAATTGTAGCCAATTCTGCCACTGAGTTCTATCCCCAGCCTCATCCAGCCTTTTCCTGAGAACAAGGTCTAAGGAGGTCTGTTCACTCTGTGATGTAATGAGCCATGGAGAGGAGGCTCTGCACCCAACCCACAAGCAAAGCCTGCAACTAAGAGCCTCCATCCTCTCATGCAGTCTTTGTGAAGTAAAAAGCTAAGAGTTCCATCTTCATGGGTCAGAACCCTTCACTGATATCCCAAGTACCTCTATACCAGCAGTTCCCAACCTGTGGGTCGTGACCCCTTGAGGGTCTATGACCCTGACCCAGGGGATACTTAAGACTATTACAAAACACAGATACTTACATTACAATCCATAAAAGTTGCAAAATTAGCTCCGTGAGTTCGAGGCCAGCCTGGGCTACCAAGTGAGTCCCAGGAAAGGCACAAAGCTACACAGAGAAACCCTGTCTCGAAAAACCAAAAAAAAAAAAAAGTTGCAAAATTAGAGTTATGAAGTAGCAACAAAAATAATTTCATGGTTGGGGGGATTACCACAGCATGAGGACCTGTTTTAAAGGGTTGCAGTGCAGCCAGGCGGTGGTGGCACACGCCTTTAATCCTAGCACTTGAGAGGCAGAGGCAGTCGGATCTCCATGAATTCGAGGCCATGGTCTACAGAGTGAGTTCCAGGAAAGGTGCAAAGCTACACAGAGAAACCCTGTCTCGAAAAACCAAAAAAGAAAAGGAAAGGAAA